TTTCTGAATGTTTACTGTAATGCTGTGCTTTCGTAGTCCTTCAAAGACAAGGTCTAGATGCTGGAGATGAGATTCTTTGTTCTTACTTGCAATCAGGCAGTCACCAACATACTCATGCACGAAGTCGAGACCTCGAAAAAAATCATCAATGAAACTTAGGAAGGTTTGGGTAGCATTTCTTAAACTGGTAGACATGTGCAAAAACTCGTAGAGTCCGAAACGAGTGACGATGGATACTTCGAGAATATCGACAGCAGCCATAGGAGTTCAGTTGTAATCTTTAACCAAGTCGATTTTCGAGAAAAAACAGTTGTACCTTTCAAGGTAGTTGTTAAATCGTGGATGTGAGGCAACGGGTTGTCGCATTCAATCGCCAAAAGTCACCATTTGGACACCAATCATTGCTGTCCTTTTTAGGGACCATGTGCAAGGGAGATGCCCATGGGCTGTTTGATGGCCGAATGATTCACAAATCTATCATGTTATGGAAATCGTTTTTAGCCAACCTTAGCTTTTCGAGAGCTAGTCGGAGCCCTTTCAAGAATACAGGTGATCCTGTAGTCGTGATGTGATGTGTAACATTGCTGGTTAAAGACGGCAAGGTCAGCTGCGTTTGGTATATCTCAAGGTACTTATCGAGTATATATTGGCAGTATGGATCGATCGTGTATCCTATTGTGTTTGGGGATAATCTACAACCGGAAAAATACGTTACACAAACAGATAAATTATTATTTCCGTCTACTAACTACCGTAAATTATGATGTTGCAGCAGGCTTATACCAATGACTGGCATAGAAACAACTGCAACAATGAAAATCCAGTGGATGAGTTTGTGTAAACTTACGTTAATATAGACGTACCGCTTACCATATGTAACGACCGGTTTCCCGTTTGCCGCCTGTAAGTTCGAAACCGATTCATGCAGTCAGTCACTGGAATTCGCTAGAAGAACGGTAATTTCTGCCCCAGGGTCGACGAGGTAGAGAACTTTCGTTCTCATGTCAGCGTTATTTATTTATTCGCGAGCTGCGGTTGACGTCAATACGTGCCGACTGGGAATCTTCCCTAAACGTTTTTCGTGTCGGTCGGTTGGAGCTCGAAAACTTGCAGGGTTTTCAGCAGTTTTGTGATTTTCCGTGCTAATTAGAATGACACCACCGCTTGATGTTATCTATCTCCCGTAACCTAGGGACAAATCATTTTCGTGAAGATCTTCGAGGGTTTGTGATCGTTTACGGTCATGACCTGTTCGAGTAAGACAGAGTTCCAAAACGTCGTTCTGTGCCGTTTGCGGTTTTTGTTTGATTGAAAGAATCTCGGGGTTAGAAGTTTTAGCGATCTCTATAATACTGTTGTCAGACGCAGTCAGATCGTCTAAAAAGTTGTTTTTATACAAGGTAAGCACTATCTTCACCTTTTGAGGAGGCTTAGACAAGAAAAGTTGTTCAAACAGGCCATCGTCAAAGGTCCTTTGTCTAATTGACTCTTTCATTCGTAACATGTCCGTTGCTGAGCAGTGTTGAAGATCGATGTTATTTAGGAGTTTATCTAAACTTTGTCGATAGGTTAGATCTCCGCGTTCATAAGGTTTCGAAACATCACTAGTAAACATACTATGTGTGACGTACCTGTTGGATTCGCGCGGTGGTACTCTCACTACTACGGGTAATTGTGCACGTGGATAGGTCATGCCATGCTCGCGAAAGTCAGGCCAGAATGGCACTAGCTGATATAGGGGTGGTGTAAGATTCTTGACTTTAACTAACTTAGGAATCTGTCCAGTCATGACGAATATAAAGCATAAGAATGAACGAGGGGAAAATATTCAGAAATAGGAAAAAGAAATCACAATTTGTAAAAAACGAAGTAATGAAATGATATATGAAGTTCCGTGAGGGAACAGACTCACAATTTACGAGTTGGTGTATTGGGTCACGTTGGGCTTCTCACTGAAGATGCCACAAGTATTTGGAGTTTGACAACACTTTTACCAGTAACACCTTCTGTAATCGAAACGTGCCTATCCAGTGAACTCAAAAGTCATAAGAGAAGAGGTCCGAAGATATATTTCGTAGGTTATCAATATAACGAGAAGTGGCTGATCTAATCTGGCCAGAGCGCTCACTACTGATCTGGTGCTGATGCGCGACCGAGCGCCTTCAGCTAGGTGAGTCCTTCAAAGCTAGTGTGGCCACTATCAAATGTCAAAGACTTACAGAGCTATTGATTTCGGGTGTTTATTTATCGTTACAGGCTTTTCTGGAAATGCCAAATATTTTAAGGAGTTGTAGGCTTCCTTTCGGATGGATGTGAGGAAATAAGCCACAATGCTGACGTCCTGAATATCTTTCTTGGTCATACTCCAGCCTTATAACCTTTCTATATATTCCTTAAAAGCACAAAAATTTGAATGTATGTCCGACTGTTCCATTACAGGTCCCATGGCGACGCCAACGTGATAATTAGAAGCATTTGAATTATTATACGAACTAGGAATCCCCGAAATAACGCAATTTAGACCAAAGAGAACAAGATTAGTAGAAACGAACATATTGCATTTGGAATTCGAAATCGGGTAGACATCAAGTACAAACGATTCATTAGTTCATACAAACACCACAAGGATGTATGTTGCAGTTGAAAAGGTAAGCAAAACGTCAATTGGTCGGTAAAATATTGTAGCATTTAGACTGTAATCCTTTTTATATCACAAGGAAGAATAAACGAATGGTAACTGCTAGGAATTATTTATGAACTCTTATCACATATATTTCATGCAATTAGTTCTCTTTACATTCACTTATGTCAATTGTCCCATACTATTTCTTATCTCTATCTAGAATTCTAATGCATATTTGATTGTAAGTAGCTGACGAGAAACCACGAAATATAATGAATTGATATTATTCTGTATCAATATTTGTTCTGGCTTTATTTAAATATCACATATATTATGACTAGATAATAATGCAGTAACTAGATTATATATATTATCATAAGCTTTCATTTGACCTTTTGGCTACTGTTAGATGACTTATTATTGTTGACTCATTCCCAATTTATCCGTTAGAGTACCCCATACCCACAGTCACTTTTAGCTTGGTCTCGTACAATTTTTATTTTTTATTTTGTATAATGTCGTTCGGTCTGCTTGCATATAAACCATGTATGTCTGAAATATACGATTTACATAGCGGAGGTTGGTATTTGTGTTCTGGACTGAACTTAGCGCGTTAGGCGAGAAGCTACTATACAGAAGACAAATATGGACTAGGAGTTCATTGAAGGCTGTTCGTGATGGTTAAAATATTATTGGTTTAGCACATAGAAAAGGTCATAGTAGTCAGTATTCTGATTATCAATTTTGTCATGAGATATTTGACGGATCATAGGACATAACAATCCTCAATACAAAATGTACTTATGAAAGCCGAGTAGTTACAAGAAGCAGCAACTGATGCATTGGGACTGTCATTAGCTCTACGGAGATAACCTAAGAACCTCAGGGATGAAACTGGAATATAACTCTGAGTTGACTATATAATCAGAAAGATATTTTGTGTTTGCAACAGGGAAGGAATGAACTAGCATTGTTGTTCGATTCCCTATACACTTCCTCACAAGAAATATTTGTAATAGTGATAACCATGAACATTTTGATAGGCGTATATTATCAAAGTTCGAAGTTCTTAGCGTGTTATCAGTTAAATCCAAGCATTTAAAAAACTAAGACAGGTCAGTCTATATAAATTTTCTAGGAGGAACATCCAAAAAGATTGCAGGATATAATTTACTTACAGATGGACTTCCCAAACAACTCCCTAGAGTCCTGGTAATTTTGTGGTTAGAACAGCTAAACTATGAATAACCAATTACTGCAATCTTTTTCAAAAATATAAACTTATAGGACTAGTAGAAAAACGTGGGATAGTGCATTCAATGAGATAAAAAAGACGATAAGCATATACATACTAATAAGTCGTAGGAACACAAAAATGTGATTCAGTGAGATAGTTGGTTACGTTTGTAAAGGGGGTACTGTTTTCTGGTTAGTCGTTAGACAAAGGACTGATATGAGGACAAAATAAGTTTGATTAATGAAAGCTTATCTTAAATATTATTGTTTGGTTTACCGATTCGGATTAACACACACATTGATTAGAAAGCTAAGGAAGGAATTCAGAGCGATTACAGTGGTACAGATTCGTCCGTCTTTCATCTGATGCTGAACACCATGTGGATCATTAACGTTGACGATCTCTGTCGAATGACTGGGGGCCTACTCGAGTTACATTGGAATGGTGTGATCAACAGCTAACGTCGAGGTCACACCACGCAGTCGGCACCTAACATGGATTACCTCTTTGTCGTATCAAGGTACTATGGATGCTTCGAAGACCGTACAACACAAGGGACGTTATTACATAAATATATTAGCTAAAGTGGGCACAATAGAAATAATGATCACCACCACATGGGTCAGTCCATGGCGTACGATTAACTGGTGCGCGTTGGTTGCCCTTGACCTTGACAGGGGTCGACGACCTGTTCGATACTTAGTGACCCAACTGCCGGATGATTCGGTTAGGGCTCAGTGACATTTTACCGGCCCTACAATCCCAACCCCAAGTAACATTTCATTTACTACACAGTATTCTTCACTGTTTTTTTGGGGAACCCATTGGTGTAATATTAAACTAATACACATTTTTATGAGGTTTTGAGATGTTATTATATCAGATGCATCACTATGTTAAGGTAGTCACTCGCAGGACTATCTCCCCTGCCTTCATGTGTAAAGTACAGATGTTTAATCATTACTTGAATGATTCCATTTAGATTTCTCTTAATTTTTCTTAAAGTCACTTTTGGATATATGAACTACCAAAAGTCCACAATGTAGGAAATGGTAGTTATTTTTGCACTTTGTGATAAAGAATACAAAAATACGATTCGGTAAAAAAGGAAAGTAATCAATATTTTGCATCAAAATTTTTTTATTTGACACAATGAGATACTAACTGTAAATTCATAAATTCTAAAACATGTTTGGGACTCTGGATAATTTCTTCCGGAGAAACTTTCCAAGATAACGAAATACTTGATTTTGGTAACCTAGGAAATGAAATAATAATACAAATCACTAAGTGCTAGTGTAGGTTATAACTAAATATTTAAGTTATGTCTGATTTTTGGCCTATTGCACGAGAAAATAGCCTCAGAAGCGTATGAAAACCATAGAAATGTTTAATTTACACAAATTGGTCACTGGATAGAAACAATTATATTGTTGGAAGAGTTTACTTGAGTAAGTTTCCAAATTAGCTGATAATCACAGTGACTAAAGAGTACAACACACTATTATTGATTGTAGATAGCTGTAAGCAACCGAGAAAAAAGTGCGAACCAAGTTCATGTGTTCAGTGATGATAAACAAGATCACTGTTGCATAAAGTACTCATGCTTTGTTCTGGAACAAATAACACAACGGCAATGCATTTCCTATGAACGAATGTAGATCTATAATAATAAACACAAAAATTAGATGCCATCCATTGTTGTACAGTTTCAACTAATTGACTTTAAATTTAAAAGAAATTAGAAGAAACACAAGAAACGATGTAGCAGTAAATGAATGAAATATAATTGACATATATAACTACAACTACATAGTATTCATTCTAAAGAGTGAGGGTGAAAGTGAGAGTCGAAAAGGGAAAGCATTAAGAAGGGCGACCATTAAAATGGCTCATATTAATTAAGATGAACATTGAAAGGGGGGAATGAAATGTTTAAGGGTGATGTCTGATCGATTTACCGTCTGTCCCTTTGCCTCTACGACTAATCAAAAACCTAGTTTTCTGAACACCTAGTAAAGAGTCTAGTCCAAAAAAATACTGTGAATTTTCGAATTCAGTAACAATTTGTTACTCTCATTTCTACAGTTTTATTAACTCATACGTTTATTTCGAACAGATAGATGATAATCTATTTAGAGAAATGTTTCGAAAATGCTTAAAAATGTTGGGTAAATTTCACATTGAATGAATTTCAACAGATAAACCATCCCTTAATTTTGAAATCAAATAGTTCACACACGAAATTCATCATTAAATGTATTCCCGAAAACACTATTTTTTATGCTCGCCAGAAAAACTAAATGAACTTACGTTCTGTACATTATTGACGTATGTGATAGTAAGAGTCGAATGACTAGGTTTTATTCAATATTGATTAGATGAACTGGTGGAACTTATTAGGCGGGTCTGATGCAATTATTATTACTAAGTAACATATGATTACAAAGCATTTAAATACATAAGCGTATCATTTATTCCAGTTAAAATAGAACTCAAATTTATACTTAACAAGCAAAATCGTCTAAACAGTGTATTTTAATCAGTTGGCTTAAATTAAAAATCTAATTACACTAATATAACATCATAAAGTTAAGTTTGCTGCAGAGACAGTTCATTATTTCAAACCTGAACTATGTATGTAAAGCGTCACGTCCAAGCTGTCATTCCACCATGATTCTAGCAACGTATTTTTCATACGTAGTAAATTGGTTATTGATACTCGCTTCTAATGTTTTTGGTTTCCATTCATTTGTTATTATCATCTTCATACTTGTTAAGAAGACAGTTATCTTTCGCACATGTTTTTATCTTGTCATTTTACTCTTACTTCTCGAACACTATGCAACCTTATTTTGACCTCTGAAGATATGTACTACCCATATTTTTCGACAGACTACTTTATCTGTTAAATTACAATAAATACAACTGCAAAGTTTGTAGAAATAACGTCGTCGAATTGTCTTTGATTCTTTCTCAATAACAATCCTTGTCAGAATCTTTTCCTCATAAGCTGATCAGGAGAATGGATTACTTGGTTACAGTTCAGTATACCAGGAACTTTTGTTAGTCCATTATGTATTTCGATGTAGATTGCAATTTCGCTAACAGTTCAAGTGAAGCCTTCACAGGATGCAAATAGAATTTATCTGCATCTACTTATAAGTCACTTCTCTTTTCAAACTAATCTATTCATACTACATTTTCAAGTAGAAATTATGTCGCAAGATTATAATTACCAACTATTTACTACACTAAAATGATCGCGACTGCTCTGTTGTAGGAGTTTAACTGAATGAATAACTTTGTTCTTGAGCTTAGTAGATCTTTTCACATTTCATTCACCACGAAAAGAAATTTTATCGTTTCAAATATCTTGGTACTCTATGTTTGAGAAGTTAGGGAGTAAGAAAACTGGGAGCGGTATAAACATTTTAAATTTGGACCCCAACCCATCACGTTAAACACCATTCAACCCAGAATGGTGAATTATTGATATAATAAAATAATCCTACCAGTATTTTAACTGATCAAATTCATTAAATTAAAACAGAGCATCAAAAAGGCTGTTCATCAATTTAATATAGGTGTGAATTTGACATTCATTTTAAGTTGCGTTTTAATATAGTTGAACGTATCTAAATGTGAAAATTCAAGTGAAAATCCACGTGATCAGTCTATTGTAAATCTGTTCTCGTAATCTCCTATGATTAGTTTGGATACGTACTGCGACCACCTCCTTATACTTTCTTTATACGTACTGTTGCTGTATCCATGCAACAAACTGTTCGATTTTCAATTCATTTAACCTCTGTACCTTTTTCAGAGCACCGATGAATTTTCATATGCCACCCCTCTACCATGTTACTCATTTAGGCAGGTCTCCCATAATGGAATTGCAGACGTTCCACAGGGTAGTTTGAAAAGTTGGTATGCCGCGGTCTCCATGTCTCGATGGTCTATCAATTCAGGTGTTTTCAAAATGGTTTGCTAATTCTTTGATTTCTCTTCATTCTCTATGCAGAATGGTGATTCCATTGGACTAAAAAATGAAGCTTTGATATCTACGGTTGGCACGAAGGCTAACACTGTCAAATGACGAATCTGAGCAGCCAAATTTTGGTCTGTTATATAACGTTGTTCAAGTTTCCACCAAATACACTTGCTCAGATGAAATAGGCAACCTCGTTTTACTGCCTTCGGATACCCTTGTCGAAATACCGATAATTCCGAATGTTTGAAGTCAATTATAATAAGTGTACGTACGAACTCCTACTTTTATCATTCATTAGAATGTAAACTAATAGTAAAATCATACCTAATATCATAGTATGAATTACGTACAGCTGACTAAACAAAGTTGGCGAGGTCTTAAATGTTCCCTCAGAATACTAATAGGGACACTGCCCTAACAATTCCGGATATCCAGATGTAGAAAATGTTAAAATACTTATTCCGTTGACGATCCAACACAAAAATATCCCTCTAAATAGATTATCCCCTAGCTGTTCGATATAGACGTACGAGATAATATTACTGAGTAAATGGGAAGAACAAATTGATGCTAAATTCGAAAAATTACAGTATTTACGGAATATTATTAAACACACGGCGGTTTACGTACATTTTTTAAAAAATTAACTTTGTTTCATCCCATTTCTCAATTTTTTTTCATTCAGTTTCGTCCAATTAAATAACTAGTTTTAAATTCGTTATAATTGGTTATTTATTTCTTAAATTGGCATAAAATGTAAGTACTTGTCGATAGAGCAACTTTTCTTTGAATTGTGAACGATAGTAACGTGCAAAGTACAAGTTCTGTCATTTCTCACGTCGTCACGGAAACAAATAACATGTTGTTGAATACATTGTATCTGGTAGCGTTTCAATCACTTGAAGTGTTAAAGAGCGCCATCAGAACTTATGAAAGGGTGACATTATGCGGTGCGAGATCCTCATTTCTATAGGGATCAGAAGCCGTATATTGTATGTTGGGGAAATGGCTGTAGAAGACCAAGCGGATCCTCACGGCCGATTAAACGAAGGAGGTAAGTTCATTAGCGTTATTATCTTGTTCATGGTGGTCTAGCTTCAACTGACTCATGATGTCAACTATTGAAATTATATATGAATTACTGTCAATAGTACATACACTTTTTGTTATATCCTAATGAGTAGAAGAATTGCATTTCTGACATTTCGTGACCTAATGGAAGTCACTTCTTCAGAGTAAATAAACAACTGAATTAAATTAACACAAATTTAAATAGTACGTTAGAAATACAATTTTTCTAGTCATGAAGATATAAGAAAAAATATTTATTATTGATTTTCTACTCAATGCTCAAGTTATTTGAAACTATCAAGTCCAACCTATAAATTACTATTGTTGTTTATATTTTTCTTATAGTTGAAATGCCTTTAGCAGTGAAACCGTGATAAAATGTAAGTAGAAAAAAGGTAGATAAACTGTATAATAAGTCACATGTTGACCTGGTTTAAATATGTTTTACGTAACCGTTAGTAAAAATAGTAGATTCTGGTTGATATAATGTCCATCAGTATTGATCAAATAGGGTTAGGCGACGATGTTCAGGGCAATCATTTTCACTGATTAACTCTGGTGAAGTTCAATCGCAAAAAATCGGTACGCGTTGTAATGGTAGATGCAATATTAATGGAATCGAGAATAAGCTTATTATTGATAATAACTATCATGATGTTAAGTTAACGACTAAAACCAATAAATTTTAGTTCATTATCGTTCAGGACTTATTATTGTGTACGAATTCCATTTCATTAGTAGCATAAAAAAGATGAAGTTGACCTACATGATAATTAGCATTCAGTTCACTGTAGTGACCTTTACACAAACCAACAAACCTATACTGATAATTTACACAAAGTATTTATTTATTAATGATTAGTAATGTTCGGTTACAAGTTGACCTATTTCCGATTGTTATCAGGAAAATCATTAGTATCATCTCACTTTAACATTCAGCTACAGCTTGTTAAGATTTATATATATATATATATATATATATATATATATATATATATATATATATAACAGTTCATTTTGATTGCAATACCAACTCGCTGGGAGAAATTTATTAAAATTTACCAATTTTAACACGAAAAGAAATCACCGTCCTTTTAAAAGCTTGTTGTTACTATTTCCAACGAGATGAAACCCTGACCATAACCAAACCAGATAAAGGAGGAGTTGTAGTTCTCATGAACAAAAATGATTACATGAGAAAAATGGAAACAATGCTTAGCGATCCCAGCAAATTTCAGAAAATTACTAGTAATTGTGACATCAGTAATAAAGTAGAAAGACAATTGGCCAATTTCCTTAAGGATCTAAAGAAAAAGGGAATAATTACGACCGAGATTCACGATTCAATTAAGCCGACTGGATCATTTACACCACGACTGTATGGTTTGCCTAAAGTACATAAACCGGGTCTTCCTCTACGCCCAGTTCTAAATATGTACAATTCTCCCTACCACAAAATTGCAAAGTGGCTAGTACGAATCTTAGAACCTTTACACAAATCAGTTGTTAGAAATAGTGTAAAAGATGTCTTCAACTTCACCTCCAAAGTGGAAAATATTAATGTTAGTATGAAAAATATGATCTCATTGGATCTAGGATCTTTGTTCACCAACGTACCACTTATAGAGACTATTGGGTTTATATGCAAGCAAACATCAGAAAAACAAATCAACATTGGCTTGCCTAACGATAGTCTAAAGGAACTGCTCTTAAGATGCACGCTGAATGTACATTTTGTCTTCAACAATACTTATTATAGACAAATAGACGGGATGGCCATGGGCTCGCCTCTAGGCCCGATTTTAGCTGATCTCTTCCTAGCAAAGCTAGAAAATGGACCTCTCAATGAGACTATTAAGAAACTTGATTTATATTGCCGCTACATTGACGACACCTTCATTATCGTAGATCAAAACACCAGCAAGGAGGAAATCCTAGAACAATTCAACAGTGTTCACCCAGCGATCACTTTCACTGGTGAAAGCGAGCATGATAAGAAGCTGAACTTCCTTGACGTCACACTAAGCAGACGAAGTGACGGTACATTAAGTAGAAGCGTGTATAGAAGAAACCCTTCTTCATGCCAATATACTCACTTCTGCAGTTTCACACCCATCCGTTACAAGAGAAATGTGGTCAGATGTCTCACTAGCAGAGCAAAAAAGATCTGTACAGTAGATACTCTAAGTCAGGAGCTTGAATTTATCAACAACTCACTAACCGAGATCGGCTACCCCAGCGCTTTCATTAGGAAGTACATGTATAACATAATAAAGAAGTCGGAGATTTCGACTGTTCGTAAGAAACCTTTATACATGAAAGTGCAATTCAACGGGGATGTGGCTAGTGACACTCTGAAATATAGGTTAACTAAAGTAATCACGAAAACATTCTACGCAGCCAATCTTGCGTTGACCTTCTCTTGTCGACCAGCGATGTCTACTCAAACAAAGGATAAGTTACCTGAGTTGGCCTCTCCTATGTGCACTTACAAATTCAGCTGCTCCTGTGGAGATAGCTATATAGGGCGTACTACCAGGCAACTTAACCAACGAATGAGTGAACATCTACCAAATTCGTACATGAAGGGCCAGATAAAATCTATTCGCAGTTCTATCTTGGCACATTTCATTGATAGCGGTCATGCTGTAGATAAATCGAAATCATTTCGGGTGATCTATCGTATACCTCCATCATTTCCCAACGGAGTTCGTTCCCGCCTCCTACATATAGCTGAAGCCATAGGAATTCGTACATATAACCCCAATTTATGTGTACAGAAGAAATACGTAACCCCCTATCCCTTCCATGGCCAGTTATAACTTAACTAACGAAGCCTTTTTTAACATTTTATTATTATCATTATTTATTCTATTCTATTTTGTTACCATTAACCTTATTTCCACATCCATTATTTGTTTGTAATTTTCCGCCTCTTGCCGTTTGTATTCTTCACTATCTGATTATTTACACACTTCTTATTACGTAATGATTTTAATGTTTTGTGATTACTATTCCTAGTTTATCTACCCATGTTTGACCTTCTATTTCCAACGTTTAACTATTGATAAGACTTTTGTGATCATATTTTATTATTCTTACTACTTCACAGATTGAAATCATGAGTCAATTGAAGCTAGACCACCCTGGATGCGCACTGCTGAGGAGTCCCATACTAGGACGAAACGGCCATCTAGTGCTTCCAGGTTTTCCATGGTGGTCTAGCTTCAATTGACTCATGATTTCAACCTGTGAAATTTCTAGAAATCACAAAACCCATTCTGATAATATTCTTACTACTATCAGTACACCTGTCTTCCTACTATAAACTTGTATTTTTACCTATTATGTGTAGAGACTTATTCTATTTCATTGTGATTACCGACCCATATAGCCTTGATTGGTTTAACATTTTCGTATAAATATTCATGTATATTAGAGTAAAGCCTGATGACGATCTAATTGAAAACAATATTGTTCGCTTATATGTGTTGTTCTAATTTTCACAATGGGAATCTTTAATATTCCAAAAATGTTTCTGACATAGTTCAATACATGCATTACTTCTCAAAAAATTTTCACCGATTGGTCTATTGAAATACAAATAATACTTAATGTACTTAACTCGTTTCGCTGTAGTCTAATGATTTCAAGCAATTTCTTCATACATCAGCAGCGTGACTATCGAATTAATTATATTGATCATTTTCACCTATTCTCTATCTATTCTCTATATTATCAGGAAGGGATTTTTGGTGGATATTATAGTATTTTAATAGTTGAGTTCATGAGTCAATTGAAGCTAAATCACCATGGAAAACCTGGACGGCCATTTCGTCCTAGTATGGAACTCCTCATTTTAACAGATCATTTATTGAAAAAACAATCTCACTTGTTTTTTTTAAAATATAACATATCGTTAAACAATTACCTAATTCATTATTACTACATTGAAGAGAAAGAATGTATTTGTAAAGACTCAGCGAATGAATTTTGAAGTAAATTCAACGTTTCGCCTGGCAGTCTGGTCCAAGCTTTTTCAACGTTGATACGTAAAAATTCTATCACAAATGTATAGTGTACGATAATTTACCACATTACATTTATTATTTCTGTACTACTGCACATTGAGTTTCAGTTGAATCACCATGTTAATAGTAATCTTATTGGTTAAGCCATTTAAAGAGAAAATAGAAACATAACTAATCAAATAAGCCAAATTCTAAGGGGGACATTGCACATTGCATTTCCGTAAACAGTTGCAGGGACTAGACTCTTCATTAGACATTCAGAAAACTATGTTTTTGATTGGTTGTAGAGGCAAAAGGATAGAGAGTAAATCGGATAGATTTCACACCCTTAGACATTTTATCCCTCCTGTCAATCTCACCCATAATAAAATGTTTATTTTTAATGTTTGCCCTTAGTGGTATGAACCTAGCTGAATAGTGAAAACGACGAACAATTGTCATTTGCTGGTAAAAACTGGGTTTGGAAATGACTGAAATCTCTATAAAGGAAATAAAGCATTCAGTATTATTCGCATACCGCAAACGGCTATACATTTGTATCAAACAAGAAGAGTGACTAACTTGGAAGGATTGAGAGTAGATTGTGCACAGCAAAAACACAATTGGCGTACTAGTTAGAGAAAACAAAGCAGTACAATGATGAAAACTAGACTGTTTTGGATTGGTATCTCGTAAATCAAATAACAATAATTTATTTATAATTATATCCACAAGTAGGTCTGTGGCACGATGCTCATACTCGTGTCGACCTTATTAAAACCATTATTAACTAAATAGACATTGGCTCATGATTTCAACTTGTGAAATTTCTAAAAATCTCCACAAAACCCATTCTGATAATAAATAGACATTATTCAGACATATTTTTCCAAATAAACTTACTCCACTAGGCCTAGGACATCCCGACATAGATTACCAAATTGTGTAGGTGAACCAATAAATATTGACTCCAGTTCCAAATTGACTCCATGTTTTGGTAAAGCAGCAACTGGTTCTAGACCGAGGGCGCGCAACATACCCAATGTCATACTATAACCAATTACAAAACTATATTCGGATGAAATAGGTTTTAATATACTCCAATAATACAGCCAGTCAAATGTGCTTTGTATTGCATTTTGTAAATGTTCTTTATGACTAAAAGACGATGAATCAAATACCTTTCCTTTGACACTAGAGCCTATTTAACAAATGTACAAGGAAACGAAAAAATCGAATGCTTGTTAAGTTTGTGTAGACGAACTAAATCTATTAAATGCTGACCAAAAGACTCATTTAAGGAGCGATAAGGAATAAACACTGACTATTTACTAAGGAAATATTTAGTGAAAACATAAGATACATTATTTATTTAGGATATTTGTACTTACACACTAAGTTAGAAAATTAATCAACACTTTCAAAACATTCATTAAAATAAAGTATAACCACTTATTGAGGGTTAGTCAGTAGTCCTATGACATAGTAGGTTAAGAAAGCTTTTCGTAATGTAATTGCCAATTTTTACACAGGAAAAATACGTTCTGTGGGTAATAAATATTAGTTTGGTGACCATTGTAATAACGTTATTCATGAATGACTATTGGGTCATGTTCTGACGGACTATCATGGGCTTAGTGAAATATAGTGGAACCCAAAGAAATTAGGACAATTTGTGATTGTGATTATCCTGCCGTATCAAAAGGTTGAAAAAGTCATATAATCGATTAAAATTATTCTAAACTTCATACAAAAGACGTCAATAGTCCATAAAGTAATTACCATTTTTATACCAGTGAAGAATGTTAATTGTAACATCGTTAGCTTATAGCAAATGTCATACGTCGTGACGATAACAGAACAGTTATTCCTAAGTTTGGTTTAGCTAGCAGGATTTCAGGAATAGCTGGTAGCATCGAATGTAATGTTCGCAATAGGAGCTCTCAAATCCATGAGAAGCTGAAAATTTCTTAACTATTGCTATGAATTATATAATGAGATGTAAAATTATTGAATTGAGTCTTCAGCAGTTAGTCATACACTGTCTCATCATTTCTGTCGATCTGTGCTACTAAATTTATGAAAGTATGAATCGATGTAGTTTTGCGCGATTATCTAAGTTTGTTTTTAAAGAGAAGAGAAAATCAAACACGAAAAATGATAAGGTTTAGAACAAAAATCCGAAAACATACTAGCTAAAATATCAGTTAAAGCTTTTTCACCATGCAATAGATAGTTTTTAAAAGCTGAATCCAGTTCACTGAATAATTCAGTATGATGTTGTGGACTAGAAATATACAGAAGCGATAACGAATAATTTTCATCTGTACTGGAATTTAATAATAATAATAATAATAATAATAATAATAATAATAAATAATAATAATAGAAAATAAAAGATAATTATAATTATAATAGAAGTATTACCAAAATTTACTGTTTTAATTTGAAAAGTAAAATAAACGGAGATATACAGAATCCGTGATAAACGGTGTGGAACAGTAACATAGGTTTATAAAAGATGGATTGTAATTGATATTTGAATCCAAGGTGTGCGTTTCGTTCTATTTGGGACTTGTGAGCTGAATGCACCACCATCCCATTGTTGACTCCATGTTCCCAATAAGACATGAACTCAGTACCTTTTGCTTCAAACGCCCAACATATTATCCACTGAGCTACTGAGTTCAGATAGCCACTAACTTTCTCAACGGGTATGACGTTTACATCATTAGTAGAAAATCAGTTAAAAAAGACTGATCAGAATTTAGTTCCTAATATAAGCTACGGAATAATCCAAACTCCTATTACCAATGGTGCAACTTAGACTTGTTCAGTAAAGTATCAGCCCAGTTTGTTATATTCTGGCAAATAACACTAATTGTAGGAAGTAATTTCCTACAGGTGTAATTCTAAGCTACTCTTTAAACTGTCGAGCACAAAGTCTTAGTTTAGCCAAAGTCAGAACAAGTAAGCTTGGAGTGACATCTGAATATATGATCATTGTTTATGTTTGAAACTTAGAATGTTTTTGAACTAAATTTAAAAGATATGTAAAAACAAATGACTGCACAGAAGTAAATTCTAAGCAACATTATAAACCCATACTGAATAAATAATTTAATACTTCGTAGTTATTAAACATCAAGGATGTAGTTTGAGGAAGAATTATTAAGGCATTTAGTTAGTTATGAACGAAAAGCTGACCTCGAAGAAGCTAAGCATGATATTCCACCACCTGTAAATACACCAATCAACAACTTAGAAAAGGCCAGGAGATATCAGAAACTTCTGTTAAATTGATGGCTGATCGGAGATCAGAGGGCGATTAGGGGCGAGAAAATCTTGAACGTATATTGACAGAACCTCTAAACTATAGTCATAAGTAGTGATAGGAAAAGAAATCGAAAAAGATTTAAAAGGGGAGAGGGCAGTGGAAACCTGTCTAAACTCATCAAAAAACGGGTATTAAAAAGTCAGCTGGTGGTGAGACTACTTTTGAAAAGGACGAAATTGTGGTCCACTTTCAGATCAGCAGATTGACACGACGGGTAACATAATCTGAGAAACAGTCCAACTACCTTCCAGATTCTCACTAGTTATCCACACTCCCCAAACAACTTAGATGAGAAGTCACAAGTCACCTAAATCGTGGTGCAGTGTTGTTCTCTGAGCTGGATGGTTTGGTCGTGGAGCTGTCATCGTTCTTCTGAACGACATCATCAGCACAAACTTCAGATAGAAGTGAAGTGTTCTCCATGAGTGTCTTCGCCAGCATGTTCTACCAACCAGTGTAAAATATAGACATTCGAACACTTCACTTTTATCTGAAGTTTGTGCTGATGATGTCGTTCAGAAGAACGATGAAAGCTCCACGACTAAACCATCCAGCTTAAAGAACAAAACCAAAATCATTCATATGAGCTACAAATCTTCTTCACCTAAATCTTATCTACGTTGATAAGATATAACATGAAGCAAAGGGAGAGTAGAAGGATCAGAGAGGTTAAACTCAGGTGTCTTTATGGGCCATGATCCAATTTTGATAATTCAGTTAACTGAGAAACTAGCTGGAGTTTGGGAGCTGGTCTCAATCCCTGGTCATCTCAGTCTCAAATAAAAGATTGAACTGCCATTTTCATAACTACAGTGGAATCACTTTGATTAATCTATTTTATAACATTAATCTTTGTGATTATCCTATGCTTTTTTGGAACTTGTAGACAAGGAACTGGGGGAAGCTAGACTGATTTTGGACCTGGGTGTGAATATATTGATCAAATATTAACCTTTCGTCAGGTTGTGGAACATAGACATACTGAAGCCCGATTACAGTTGTATTTCTTGTTCTCCGGGAGGCACCCGATTTCGTAAACCAAGAGTTTTGTCGCAGTGTTTATCATTAGATATAACATCAAAGCAGAGAGGTGACTTATTGATTAAAGCAAATGACTTTCAGCCAATAGGTCTCAAACTTTGAATCCCGCTATACTTGTAGTGAACAAGAACACGGGTGCGGACAATCGATTGTATCTAGCACAAAGATTACAGACTATCTCAATAAAATGTGAATACCATAAAGTCAATCGTCAATTTGCAAAATATCATTCCATCATATCAAACTGTACTGTTCCCGTTGCAAACACTAATCCATTGTCTCCCATTCCATTGTACATGTGTTTTCTTACAATTACATTGTGCTCTTGCTCTTCCTTTCTTGATCTTCGCCATCTTCTGCTGCCGGACCTTACGTTTATTTAACGCACGTTATATACTACTTATATGAATATAAGTAGCTCACACCACATACTTACTTCAGTTTGGAAAGTCAGATAATACCACTAACACTTGCAAAAACAGTGCGGCTCAAAGGCGACTATATGAATATGTACGAAGTACATAAATTACATTACTGCATTATAATCAAAGATATGTCAGTTTCATTGTCTTCAAGTACTCGGATAACAATGGCAATAATTAGTTATTTGATCGACAAAGTGTTGTAATGTCATGATATCGTAATGGACAATGTTCAAATACTGAGGAAATCTAATAAGTACTCATCTGTCGATATTAGTAGAGAATGTTTTAAAGCCTGTTTATTTAGTCAATAGCTTTACCAGGTTTACAGATTTCTAAAAATACTTTTTCAGCTGAAATTGATAGTAGATGTTGGATCATGGATGTCACTAGATTATCATGTTCACAAGCTCTTCATTATTAGTTAAAATATAATACTAATATAAATAATATTTAGTGGATAAATGAGTACAAACAAAGGAAGAATAATAATTCGTTATATTTTATCGTTCGTTTACACCTTCAATGTACATTGTTTGTCGAATAACACTAATAACATATTTGACTCATTCACCAGGTGCTTAGATATGAGCCACATTCTAAATGTGAAAACCAATGATACTAACCAGTTGCTCAAACCTAAGCAAAATTCGAACCTCGGATCTAGTGGCTGAAAGCCGAACATTCCAACCACTAAGCTATCGCTTGACTAATCAAACAACAAGAAAAAGACCGAGATAACTGAGTGATGGTAGTCACACTACCCACCACATTGCAAATTTTTGTCTGTTTACTAATTCATATAATGAATTTCATTGTAAGGAGAGCTGAAGTCCAGTTAATGTATCTAACATTGAACCACAACAAGTTGAATATAACTGCTACTGTTGATTTAATTTAATTGAATAGTAAACTAAAGCGTAACAAACTGTTAAACTTGAATTGATAATTATTAGGAAAATAACCAAATTAAATTAAATTTAGAAAAAGTAATACTAGTTATATGTGAAAGCATTTGTAAACATCACATTATGAACACAATGGGTGTTTCGAAATAAAACACAGAACACTAGAAATATATGTTTTAATGAAACACCAAAGGTGGAAATACTATTTATATGTTAATGGCAGTAGTTTGAAATTTACTGACATCTCAGTTTTGAAATGTTCGTTGACATAATGATAGGAAATTAATTTCACCAACTAAGATATTGGTGACACTCAAGGATTACTAACTAAAAATAGGGTGGACTTGAGGGTGGTTATCGAGTTTGTCAAGTAAAAAAAATACGATCGAAGATTTAACAAATAAAACCAAAGTAAAATAAATACGAGATCATTGTATAAAACTACTAAACAACTTACAGGTGCTTTACAAACTTCAAGACAACACCTAAATGGCGTTTAATAGGCCTAGACTGGGGTGATAATGGCATTAATAGTATTCCATCATCCTTCGGATTCATAGTTCCTGGAACATAAATGTTCATAAAAACTTGGAGTTTATCATCAGTTAAGTGTGTTAACTGTGCGTAGTGCCATAATTTATCGAATGTAGGTTTCAAACAATGTTGCACAGTTTGATTGAGTAAATGATTGTCATAATCAGAATAACATTGATCAAATTCGGATGCCATAATCAGGTAATTAACCTGAAGGATAACAAATAAAAAAACAAACGAAATCAGTAATTGTGTACGGATAAGAAAAATAAACCATATATTCTTCGAAAAAATGTTAATTTGTGCAATTAATAGAGAACGAAATAAGTAAACTATCAATTATTCCAACTTTGATTTTTACGTGACTTATGGACAATTATGAATAACAGAACCCACCCCATTGAGTGATGAAAGAGGATTAGTTGCTTACCAGTCATTGGAATTTCAAAACTCTAGTTGTCGTATTTGAGACGATTATTTCAGATAGATGAGGATTAATGTAGAACTTCAAACAGGTGCACAAGTGGATAGTTTTATCATCTTAAAGTATGGGGTGTGTTCAGATGGAAAGTAATTTTGTATTAGTCATCTAAGCGTGATGACTATGATTACTACTAAAACGACTCTATAAGAAAATACCAATAAGAGTGTGGAAGTTAAAATAATATCAATATGAAATCAGGTAAAACAACTATTTCTGTTCAAAGGTATATAGATGGATAGTGTTATTTAAAATGCGAATGAAGAAATACGATTAGATATACATCGATAAACCAAATATTACTTATTGTTATGTAAAATTGGTTTATTAGAGGAAATAATATGTAATTCTTCAGCTGTATTTCAAGTATGCGTATACTTACACCCAAATGAGTTAAATATTAGGTAGATCTTTGTGCCTGATCACAATGATCACGATGATAACTTGGGCTTTGGAATTAATCTTTGAAGGGACTTACAGTCAATGTACACCAACATAAACTATGAGTGCTAATAAGTTGTGAAAAGTCGGACTCATTCTAGAGCATGACCAGAATGTACACAGATATGTCAGAAAAAGTGTTATATACCTATCATATATCAGTAGGCAGTCAGCCACCACTGACGTAGAGTCAGGTACGGGTATACATCAGTCCAAGTTGTCATACCATATTGGTACGACGAAGTGAAAATAATAAGATGAGTAGCAAAACAAACCGAAATAAGGTGGTACCAATGACACTGAGAAAGACTGAATATTGGGAATATAGTTCGAAAAGACAATGTAAACATATGTATAAACGAATACAAACTCAAGATGTAGAGAAGGATAAAGAATGAATGCGCCTACTTTACCGTGATCAGTTCTCACTCGACATTTCCAATCAGTGATCGCGAGGATCCCAACTTAGTAGTCTGCATATATCAGTATAGTTCAGACCAATAGTCAGTGGCTTTATGAACTGTTGAGATGTCTTGTTATAGTCCCTAGCTTGCTTGCAGCCAGTCTCTACATCAGCAAACATTGTCGGTTGAGGTAGATAATGGTTAGGAATGCATGACAGCATGTCCTAACCACCTTGATCGATGAAGATTTACAATTTTATCAACCGACTTACTGCCTTGCCTAATACCAAATGCCTAACCTCAACATTGCTCTTTCAGTCGTTTTGAGATATGTGAGCACTGCTTCAAAGACGCCTATGAGTGAAAACCTAAAACCTACGCAACTCTACTTTCATGGGGTATGTAAAACAGTCATAAGGTAAAAAGTGACTGACTGGTGAGGAGCATATATTCCCTTTGTTTGAAAAATGGAGATCTCACATAAGCTATAAGTAATGCAACTAGGTGAAACGTCAACCGAGCTTTCTGAGTCCGTACTGAGATTTCGTCAGACTGCAACTTACCAGGACTGGTGAGACTTCTAAGATAAGTAAAGTAGTTAACGCACTCAACTATCTTACTACTTATAGTTAATTTAAGTATTGAAGTCGATCAAATCTAAAGCAGCATTTGGGATTTAGAGATTTGAATATGAAATGAAGGACTAAAGGGGGATCATCAGTACTAATGATCCCAGGAACTAGTCCTGATCAAAACGTGGTTGTGATCTAAACAAAACGGTGTAAGACTATCCAAATAATCTGACCCGTGACTTAAAAGTTTCCACCAGTCATTGCTCTGTGTTCAGATATTCGACATTGGTGTGGATTGGATGAAAAAAAATTTTTTTTGATCCTGAACTTGATACCAGATAATAATACTTGATAATGTGTCAGTGGAGTGAACGCAATAGATTCCTAGACACATGACTCACACACCAAAGGATTGGTAACCAAATAGGGTTCAGACGACAGTTTATTAACACAAGTACAAGAAGTCATTACGCAGAGAATCCAAAGTACAATTCATAATGAAGAAAAATTCACGTACAAGTCAATCAAACATATCTAGGATAACCGGATATATCTATCTTCACTCACTAACTTATCACGACTCACTATCATCAGATTTATCGAGTGTGCCTTCCAAAAAAATTAAATTAAAAGTTTTCAAGTTTGCAGGCGAACTCATGGTTGATATTCCTTGAGTTTTAAACTTTTGAGGTATTTGAGGAAATCAGAGACGGAATTGTTACCCCCGGAGAATTCGCTTTTTATATTAAATGGTTCATCTGGCCCAACTACAAATAACTGTTAACGATAACTTAGTGGAATAATAGATGGTGTCTGATGCTCAGGTTGGTAATATATTTGCACTAACACATTGTTATCTTGAATACAAATGTCCAAGATTCAGTAGCAAGAACTTCTAGAGACCTAGCTAGATTTGCCTATTAATTAACAATGAGTTTGGATGTAAGATATGGTATTATTCAATGGAAAAACAGATCTATAGAAGTAGCTTTTTAGTTTTGATACGAAAAATGGAAGAGTAATAGTTATTCAAATAAAAGTACAATGATATAAGTACTAACAAAAAGGTTACCTCAAAATTATTCTCATCCAGATTTAAGTGTTCGGAATGATGTTGACTGAGGAAAAAAACAAAGAAATACGGTACATGAACATTCTATATAATTTAGTGATTGCATATATTTAATTTTTTGGTACAGAATGAAATGAAATAAAAAGTTGTTCAATGCTTCTTGAAATCCAGCAGTTATTTCAGTAAAGTGACGAAGAAAAATGAGAAAAGTTATTTCAAGTTACTTCAAGATGGAATTTCCGGAGTTCTAATGAGAAGCCCTGACTTGTTATACAGTCATCACCGATGAGATTGAATAATGGTCATAATATATCATGAGATGATTGAATTTAAAAGCACGGGCTGATGGACAAGGTGGTAAGAAGACGCTATGATTACCATCAGGCTTAAAGTCATGAGTTTTATTCCTGGTGTAGTTATGGGTGAATAATGCTGAAAACACTCAAACCAAGGTAAACATCTATCTAATGCTCCCTAGTTTTCAGTCGTTCTAAAGTTGAAGACAAACCATGATAAGAATTATTTTTACAAAGAAAGTAAAGGAAGATGGATAAACCCGTTCATTATTGACAGAAAAAAACACATAGATCATTGGTAGTCTAAGTCGATAATAATGGTTGATAAACACTTAGTGGAGAAAGAAATATATTCGTAATGTTGATATGAAGTAGGAGAAAACAAAGTAGATGACCTGCAAATAAACTACTAAATGGAGGCAATGGGTTCGGTTCCAGGTTGGGTCGTGGATTCACAGTTGTTTAGATTCCCATGCTAGGCCAAAACAGCTGTTTGGTGTTTCCTGGGCTCCAATAGTCATTGCACCTAAACTATGAAATGTATTCATTTCTGTAGGAAGTAGCAAGTCATTATTGTTCTGTTGTATGGTTTTTGAGAATGATTGGATTTAATCAATGAAGTTAGTGTGATGAGTGAGATAAGTAATATGTTTGCTCAACACACGGAATAAAAATCTCGCAATATTGTTTTTCAATAGTTGACTGTATATGAGGCTTAAGCTTCACATAAATTCGAAAATATATACCTCCATAATAATAATTACTATCATATCAATAATTCAACCGCAGTCAAATGTTCCGTAGAACTTAAACAATTTGACATTTTATTGATTGCTTGTTCAGAATCAACCTATAAAACATATGAAACATGAAAGAACAATTGATTGCTCACAGATACTATGATGGTTAAATATATCACAAAGAAGAAATGCGAATAAAATTGATATTGAAAACAACTAACGGTGTTTAGTTTTAGAGACAACTTAACAATGAACTCATCTGAACAGTTAAAATTCATTTTGGTTTATAGAAACTTAGGTTACAGGCACTCATTTGTGCAAGGAAAAAAACCTAGCTAGATAAATTAGTCTCGTTATTTCAAGACAAACAAAAAGGAATAGTGTACTGGACTATGAAGTAAGACTTTTACATCAGAGGCAAAATATGGCAAGAATCAACTTGAACTATGATATAATCAAACTGAAAATACTGTTGTGACCGACATGACTAAAACAGTTCAGATAAATACCCTCCATCGTCAAAACATGGTTGAGACTGGAATGTGTGAAATATACTGTCAAAAGCTCGTTGCAGTTACATATTGGGTAACTAAAGGGTAGAAAAAGTATGTCAGACAAACAATTACTATCAAAAAATGTCATGGGTGTCCACTTTTATAGTTGGTTAGTACCTATTTGTTTAAACATATAAACATTGGTACAAGGAGGCACCGAACATATATGCGCCGCACTTCGTAATTCGACTTGTGTAAGGGCTAGGATACTGCTCGGGCGCCCCAACCGAAGTAGGTTGTCTTCGTAGGGAAGCACTCTTCTAACCTTTGACATAGAAGTCTAGTCCACAAGTCAGTGGGGTAACGTTAGGGGATGCGGCCTCACGGTAGACGGTGGCCAACGTTAGGTGCTGTTTGTTCTCTCAGGACCATGAAGCCCATATGCATCATCGGTTTGGAATCAGGGTTTTCCAACTCCCCTAGGTGGACCCTCCGCGCCCACCAACCCGATTAAAGCACCGGACAATCGCTTTTCGTCCTCTCGATTTCGTAAACAACATCACCACGAGAAGGCAGTGAGTATGACTTCCCTGGCAGTGGCTGTATGCGCGTGGCCATGTGACAGCATTTGGAGAGGGAGAACTAACTCTCCCAACCCTCAGCCGTACCAGGGCATGTGGTTAGTACCAGTGTTATCTTAAGCAAGTTCCAGGAAACAAATAACTGTTGAGTGAATAGCTTGTTAAATCTGGAATAAATGATCATTCTGATTAGTGATATCTTCAAAGCTAATTTGTGTTGAAATATTGATTTTCAACCATTTCTACTCATCATTTTAGTTATGGGTAGAGTCAATTCCTTGTCGAAGCTTCAACCATACTATCGAGTGATGCGTTAAATTCGGCAAACCAAAACGCAAGATAATCTACGTAGACGTTAAATATAATCACGAAATCGTATGTACCTGATGTGAACAGAGAAATAAGAAGCCTTAACAAACTAAGGCAGCTATTTTTGGGGACGTTATTTCATTTAATCAAAAGCTTGTAAAGCAGTAACACTTATTTTCGTACCTAGTTAATTCTACAGACCATAAGCTTTCGTTTGATGTATGATTCACTGCCATATCGTCTTCTGTTCCAAAGATATTGTAATTTAAACGTAATCTTTTGTACTCTATTTTCTACCCCAATTCCCAGTTTCGGTCGTAATTGTATTTTCCTAATTGACAGATAATTCCCATTTAAACATTAAAAATTAAAAACACGAAGTTCAACGAAGGGATCTATGACCTTTAATTATTGTAACAAAACCATTGTAGTTATCTTACTACATTCAGGTTATAATTCGTTACTAAATTACTAAATCTATTGTTATTATTCATATTACGTAATCTAGTATTATGATCTTTATACTATATTATCTTCGTTATTCGTGTTCACATTAACAAAATTTTTTTTCAGATATATACGATTGCACAGCTCGATAATCAATTCGTTGAAAAGAGATCCCTTCGTTGAACTTCGTGTTTTTAATTTTCCTAATTGTTTGTGCTTTGTGGTCTGATTAGCCATCTATTTATTAATGTATCTTTTTACACTAATCTGAACCAGGAACAGGATCGGGATTGGGAATAATTCGAGTAGTGTTCCCGTTGACTTGTCCTGTCACTCTCTCTCTCTCTCTCTCGAGTGCTTGTCAGCCAATCAGGTGATAGAATAGTTTCCGTCTCTACCCCGAGTAGTTAGTTTCACTTCGAACTCATGCATACTAGCCTCAAGGTTAAGCCAGCCAGTCTACGCGTCAAGGTCTTAATCTAGATTTAGACAAGCTATCCTCGGCATAGTAGTGGGTAGACAGATCAAGGACACAACAACATCAAAATACAAACTCCAACTTTCGGGGTGTCTACAGTATTGAATAAGTATGTCCACAACAGAGTGCTTCTTTAAAGTGGATACACAGAATTAGTTATAGCAATATACAATATGTGACAGCAAATATTTGTATCAAAATGAGAACGGAGATCACAAAAATATGGAGGCTATTACAATAAAACAAACGTTGAACAGAAATGCCAGAACAGAAAATATATGTTGCACGTATCGAAAAGGTGTGACTAAAATGACAAACAAACTGGATATTATCATCTTATGTCAGTTTTCAAATATATTATATAACAACAGATAAACGTCACACTAGATGCCCGAAAATTATTAGAAATGAAACGGGTTAATGGATGTGAAAAACGAGCACAGAGTAATACAAAAAAGGAGGCGGAATAAAAAGAAAAAACAGAGAATGAGAATGAACTAAATAAGTATTCATTGCGTCTTAACTAGGTAGCGATTCAGTGGAGACCAAAAAAACGGGGTATTATTTCCTAATAGCTGTATTTCAGGTGAGTAATTGTTAGTTGACACAAAGTACACACTGAAAATATTTTTATCAGTATTTACTATTTACAGAATCCAATAAAACCTTTTTTAAAAAATTTCATTATTTAAAATTACACCCCAAAATTTACGGATCATGCGGAATCACTTACAGTTGTTCTTTGATCAACAGTAAGATCATGTTGATAGACTGTTGCAAGTACTTGATATATTCATTATAAATTTGTCCATTTTTTATGAAAAATTTTTCATCCCATACTACACCGTTTTCCCAAATGTTGTTTTGTTGTCCAACTGTAAGATATTATTAAAAAGAATTTATTTTTCTGAAATAAGGAAACGTTTTTAGTTTGGAACTTGATGATTAATGAACTAATGAAATGATAATAGTCTTATTAAATTTAAAATTAATGCGATTGTTTGGCGAGTGAAGGTTTATGTGTTTAATTTTATGTTACATATTTTACCTGGAAACTAACGATAATACTCGGCTATCTGAACTAAAATATGTAGAATGAGGATTTGAACTGGTAGTCGAATGATTAGGCGTAAAGTGAACCCTGAATATTCTTTCGGAATGAAGAGAGACTATGTAGGCAAATTTGATCTGGTGATAACTAGTATAATCTTTAGACTGATTGAACTCCCTTACAAGGAAATGGGAAGGAGAAATACATAGTACAACATATTACTTGTGAACTTCTGTAACGAACAAAGATGCTTGACAGATATATAGAACAATGAAGATTCATATCTCACTTAATGCATAGTACCATGAAAATTGTTGTGGATCAGTGTTTTTGTCCAATACCTTCTTTATTGAGATACTAAATACACTATTTTAATCATACAAAGTGACCCAATAATAAGTTCCCATTAATGTAGTGACAAAATCAGCAGAATACAAATACTAATTACAAAGACTCATTTGCACAGTCAAGCAAAAAAGTATTATATACACCCAGTAATAAATACGACAATACTGGTTGGCATTATCGTTATTTATTATAAGAGACGATTTAACTTTCGAAGCTATTTTTCTACCATCTTATTTATACATACTGATTGCACGTTTAATAAGTATTTTAGCATTACCCTAGTTCCAAGCTTTTATCTGAACCCTAACTTGTTGCTATAGTATTTCTCACTCATAAACTAGAACCGAATATTTGTGTACTCTGTAATCCGTTTTCCTCATCATTAATATTGTTGCTACGTATTAATACTGTTACTCCATTGGTTTGCTGTGGTCTGGTCATGCATCAATATAAATGAATGCCTGAAATGTAATAACGATCTTGGGCTGGTGATCATTGACCATGTGTTCTTCCCCTCCGTTCGGGACTAGTTAGTTATGGGACAACCGTCAAGAATAGAGCATCAGTCCTCCTCGTCGTTGTTGCGTATCGGTTAATGAAGGTCATCTACGTGTATTGGTCGGTGATAGGACATAACATTATTACTATCAGAAGTGAAAACAAAAGGTTTAAAAGCATGCCTAAAAAACCTAGGGTCGAATTATCGACCTCTTAAATAGTAGTTTAAAGATTGTTTAACGTTTTAAACTATTTTGATTATCGTTATGTATAAATTCATATGAGCTTCTATAGTGAGTAAACGACAGTTTCAGATGAAATATCTTTTTCTTACATTGAGTAAGTATCATTGTGTAACTAGAAACAATCAGTCCTAATATTTTTTTCGTAATACCACTTATTTATACATGTGAAAGCTTTAACCAAGTGAGGTCTATTTTCATAGTTATTTATTTACTGAATATTATGGTTTTGACATTAGACTTGTGGCGAATATTCGAAATATTTAGTAATACCATATAAATTATTGAGTAATATGAATTACTCATAGGTGATTACCACAACTCGATTGTTGCTTAAAGAAAGTCTTAATACAATTTATTTGTTAATCGGATAATACAATCATTATTTGAAAATAAAACTCAATAAATAATTACTTCACATGAAAGAATAAACATACAATGATTTCTTTCTTTATTTACATAGTATGAAGAAGAATGATAGGAATGTGAAGGCATTGGTCCATCTGGGTCTTCATCATCTTCATCGTTACGAGAATTCAATGAATGTTGTCTATGATTATTTGCATGAATATTATATTTATCAGATTCATATGTTTTCCAAAATACTAACTTTTCATAAGGATCAGTTAATTGTAGAAGTCTAGCTGTAATACTTGCATGTACAAACCAATCGGGAGAATAAGACTTTTCAATATTTTGTTGGTTTATTAATTTACACAAACGTTTAAATAATAAATAATTTATTGGTTGGAAAGTTGTATTTTTATTGTAATTATTGGATGATGAGAATAATGAATTACAATTATTCACCAGTTGTTCCACATAATTTTTACTAAAGAATGGAAATTTTGTAAATGATTTTTGTTGGTAATATTGAAAATCTTGTGGATATGCCCAACATGTATTGAAAGATACACGACGTTGACAACACCATGAATTCTGTTGAAAAAGATGACAAGAACAAACGATAAAGATGAACTAGTGGGTATTCATTATGTACTTACTTTCAAACCATCTACTTGAAGTAAAATATTAGGGTTTACTAGAGGTTGGTTTCAGAAGAAAGTTCTGCTTACGTGACGAAAGTTTTTGCGATGATATCAATATTCGTAATAAAAGGATTTAAACAAGTAAAATCAGATCTATTGGTTCAAAACACGTAGAGACAGTGCTTCAAAATATTACATTCTGTACTATAAAAAATATGTCGGAGAAAGATCGAAACAATCGTTCTGAATGAAGAGCTGGTCGAAACCTACTTCTTGTCCTAGAAAACATTTCCATTTCCTGAAGGTTACCAGTCCACCCATAAGAGAAGAAAAACAGAAACTTGGTTTCACAATTATCTCATCCAAAATGCACGTTATATATTTAACTAGTATCCCCCTTATTAGATTTTAATTGTAACTACATTTGCAAATTTTCGGTCTCTATCATCTTCATCTGCTAGGGTGTAAGTGGTCAATATTCCGTACAACAGGGCGTTATAATTGGCTTTGCTATTGACTTGCAAACATCAGTTTTTTTCTGTTTTAGTTTCTTCTTAAAACCGTAAAAGCTATTTTACAAAGACTTATCTTTTATTCATTTAGCAACAGTAAATTTTATGTGGAAATTAAGTATTGTCAAACAATCATTTTCTAATAAGCAATTTTTCCTTGACTGTTGTAGCTGTCGATGACCGAATTCAGCAATATGTTAGTGTAGATTAAAGACCTGATTTGTCACCATTGTGAAATAATATCAAGTTGTGATTTGTTTACATTTCTAATCTGAAGATCAGGGGCTGATCAACTACAGTTATTAACATCAAAGACGGTAAATAACAAACCAACATTGATATGTTCGTACCTATTAAACAAGTTAGTGACTATTTATACTAAGTAGCTCAATAGATAATCACTTAGCGTTTGAAGCGGGAGGCACTTCCTTCGGCAGTTATATATATGAAAGAGAATAAGCTGTCACGAGCTGACAACAAATGAAGATTCAATTCATACCACAGAGAATATAACACTTGTTTCATTTCAATTTGAAACTCTTCAGTAGTGCACACTTATGACTACATAAAATCAGATTCGGAACTCAAGATCTGGAGACGAACATGATACTCTTGTAGCATCAAATTAAAATTCAATTAAACAACTGTTCAGCGTTCTTCGATTATAAAACTTTTTAAACTGATTCTTATTTACGATAAAAACAAATCACATCTAAAATATACAAAACTCTCCATAGAACCATCAAACGTACAATATGAACAACTATTAGAAAACATGGATTTAGCGAAAGAAAAGAGAAAACCTACACGAATTAACTCCGCACTATATATGGTTCCGATAGCTAGTGCTAATTGATGACGAGGATTGGTAACAATTGAGTTAACAGCCTGATTACTTCTTAAATCCCCATATGAAATTAATACACCAATTTGATTTGATAAATTACACAGATAATTTTTTAATTGAATTAAATAAATCTTTTGACAATAAACAGGTTGACTAGTTAATATAAATGATTTCTGATTGCATTCTATACCATTAGTTGATTGATTTGAAAATTGACTTGAATTATCATTTAATATCATTTTCATAAGATCTGGTGACATGACAAGGCTATTTTTAAGCAATATAGGCAGTCAAAACAGTGAATTAATTGAGAGTGAATAATATCTAAGAGTTTATAAATACTACCAATAACGACTATAATCTAAAGGGATTTCATTGTCACATATATTTTTGGAAGAAATAATAAAAGGTACGACGATTGTTTCATGCTTTTTAGCATTACCTAATGATAGGAGTAGTTACAACCTTCTTTAAAAAATACTCCTTTTAAGGTCTAAAATAACAAGATTAATAGGTGCAGTTGAAATAATTGTTACCTGACTATAACAGGTTGAGTGGGGAAAAATATATCTTAATGTATTATAAATACGATATACGTGTCAATGGTGTTACATTTCTTAGCCTAAAAACACTTTGACCTACTTGACAGAGCGTTAGAACTCTAAAAAACCATCATTCAAGTGATGTAATGATATCAGAAGGCTAGGAGTGGTATTTTAAAGGTTGAAATTGTTGGTAAGAAGAATTCAAGGAAACTGTTAGAAATAGAGAACAGGTGGAATTCATATGCCACTCAAGGTATGAAATCAAAAGATGTTTTATCCCTATTTACGCTAAGTCCTAAAAAAGTAGGTCGACTGGTATTTCTTGACATCAAAGCTCGAGAGAAAATTACGGGACGCCGTTTAAACGCTTCTAACACGCAATCAGTTGTTATTAACTTTCGTCTATTATTAAAAAAGTATCCTACAGTAATAAAAGGAGGAGTTGCAAGCTATATATTTTAGGGTAAATCCTTTATTCCTACAGTATAAAGGTAATCACTCGGACGAAACAACTTACCAATGTAACAAACTTGTTCATCTAGCGGAATAGCTTTATTGCAAACAACTATTGTAGTTAAAATTATTTTCAATTAAAAATACAAGACAATTCATTTACATTACCAGTAAATAAACAATACTCACTTAGAAGTAGTTGATACGATACCCGGTTGGGTAATTTGAGATTCCTACAATTAGATTTACAAACGATAAAAGATCAATGAAATGAACAATGATAATGACAGTTCAGTGCAAAAGTTAATATCATGATATGATTGGCGATGATTAAACTATCAAACACTATCACAAATACCTAGGGCCTTTATGTCTAGAGGCAAGTGACTAAATCCCAAACGCTGAAGCAGTAACTAATGGTCTATGTCTCGTTGATTATTTCGCGAGATATGAAAGTCCTGGGTTTGATCCCTCATGGGGTTATGGATGTCAGTCAGTTAGTCACAACGTAGAACGTGGTACGTATGTACTTTGGTTCAAGTTGCCGTACTCCATTAGCACAGACAGATGAAATTATCAGACTGAATCCCAGAATAGTAGAGGCAGTAACAGAAACAGTTATAATACGAAAGATAAGGGATCATAGATACAACTCGAAGAGATAGTATGATTAGGTGAAACAAAACGAACAGAAGATTATGAGGAATTTAAAATCGTAGAATTTGGAGGAAGATAAAAATGGATGCACCTGTGCCATCACAAACCATTTCCAGCCACATCACTCAAAGTCTCTAACCATGGGTTGCGATGATCACGCGGGCGCCAACCAGGTATACTACACCTATTAACACGCATCAGTTCAACTGTCAGTGACTTTATGGACTGATGCCATGTTTTGGTCTGCTCTCCCTTAGCTCTCTTCCAGCCTACTCCTGCACCAGAGAACATCGCTCGTCGAGGTAGGTGGTGGTCGGGTATACGCAACATATATCCCAACCACCTCAGTTGGAGATTTACTGCCCAATTGATCGATTCCCCATCTTTACTTAGTGCTCTATTCCTAACCGAGGGATTGTTTACTCTGTGGTCCTAAAATATACGGGTGATGGTTAGTAGAAACATATGATCAAATACCAGCAACCTGCTAATATCTTCTGCTCTTAATCGCCATGCTTCACATCCATAAGGCAGAACGGAGCAAACTGATGCTCAATAAACTCGTCCTTTGGTTGAAAGACGGATACCTCATCTACGTCACAAGTGACGCAAGCTGGTACTCTTTGGCACGCCTTTCAATAACAGATACTGCCACAGAACTCCAAGATCAAGGGAGTCAAACGCCCCCCTAAGGTCAAGGAATGCAAATATAATCAATTTATTGATTTATCTGGGAAAGTCGAGGTGATTAAACCATCGATATTCTAGGAAGTCTGGTTTTTTATTCCATTGCTGTTTTAGACCATAATTTCCATATTTAGAATTCTACAACGTTATTATTTCATCTTGTCTTACTTTCCGCTTGTTATGCTAGTTTGAAGTGTATGAAATAGGGTTGGGTACTAGACTGTTTATTTAAATTTATTATCCATCAATGGAATTTTATTATATAAACAATATCTATTTAAGGCTTCAGTTGTAAACATCCGCTATATATATATATATATATATATATATATATATATATATATATATATATATTCATAAATCTTAACAAGCTGTAGCTGAATGTTAAAGTGAGATGATACTAATGACTTTCCTGATAACAATCGGAAATAGGTCAACTTAACTGAATAGTTTGATGAATGAAAATTCAAAATAGCACTAGTGTAGTTTAATCATGATATTTAAAATTGTGCTGTTTAGATTTCCTCGATAGTCCAAATTTTTACCACTGGTAACACTTCAAAGATGTTAGAATTTTAAATTGACTATCTAAAAACAGCTTAATATTATAATTTAGGTAGTGAATATAATTGAAATCCAGAAAGTGTTTTATCGTATTTAGGACTAGTCAGATGTTCATATTATGACCTGAACCCCGTAATGATCTTTTCAAATATTAGGGCGTTAACCACAAGACTATTGAGTAACGACACTAGTTTACTTATCTAATGAGTGTCGTATTTATTATCAATTGGAAGAGTATGGATTTAATATTAGTTTTAATTTTCACTTAGAACCAATTATTCCTAATATACTTCTTACTTTGAACATAGCTGTACACAGTTTGATGCTCACAAATGCACTTAAAAAAAACGAGAAGACGTAGTGAATGTATTTCACTGATTGAAATCATGAGTCAATTGAAGCTAGACCACCATGGAAAACCTGGAAGCACTGGACGGCCGTTTCATCCTAGTATGGAACTCAGCATTGCGCATCGACGATCCCGCACCCCGCGAGATTCGAACCCAGGGCCTATTAGTCTCGCGCTCAGTGGTCTAGTTTGTTAAGCGCCTGGCGCGAGACCGATAGGACCTGGGTTCGAATCTCGCGGGGTGCGGGATCGTCGATGCGCAATGCTGAGGAGTTCCATACTAGGATGAAACGGCCGTCCAGTGCTTCCAGGTTTTCCATGGTGGTCTAGCTTCAATTGACTCATGATTTCAATCAGTGAAATTTCTAAAATCTCCACAAAACCCCTTCTGAAAATATATTTCATTTTAAATAATATAAACTAGTGTCTATACCGTTCTGTTTTAGATTGACAAAATGTTCATTTCCACTTACAACTGTCTCTGTTGGGACACCTTTAACCCATCCATGAACAAACACTTCTGGAAGATCAATTAACCAATGGAATTCATTTAACGATTGATATAAATGATTGTGCGTATATCGGATCCATTCTAGTGTAAAATCAAAAGGAAGTTGAGAAGATTGTATTAAGATTTATCAAACAGGAAAACATTTTTACAAAACTTAATTTCCTGTATAAAGAAGATTGACAAATAAAGTGATGTTTCTTCATTTCCGATTGATCAAAAAGTGAAGATACTACACATTTGTAATTATTTTAAAATAAATTACTGCATGTAGAGTTAGGTGTTTGGGTATATAAGTTACAGCTATTGATTACATGTGACGAGTAAAACTCCAATAATAATAATAATAGAACATTTATCATTCTGGAAGATTGTGTAAATTATTATTCCAAAGCTATTATGTGAAAGTGTTACATTCATATGACCAGAAATTAGCATTTTAGATTGATTAAGTTGGCATTTTAAGTTATCTCTTCAAAGTAAACTGTACGGACAATCAATGTATGTGCTAAAATATATTTACCATAAGTCTTCAAGTTCCCTAATATGGAAAAGTGGGAGTCCAACAGAAACGTCAAGTAACTTAGTTGAATGAACAGCAGTAACCAAGAGAAATGTGTGGATCTGTAGTTTTTTTGTATAAAATACTTTGAAAAGTAAATATACGATCGGATTGTTTTAAATATCCTACAATGGTTTTACGTTATAAGCATATTATTCTGCTAGTTTGTAGCGGTAAACAAATCCCCAAAATAAATAATTCTGTAAGTCTTCCATATTGATGCTGACTTCATTAGTTCTACAGGACACATCCTAGTTGAAGGTGTTCGGTCACGCATCCAAATCAAATCACCAGCAGGTAGACCGTGCTACGCATCCCTTGCGACTACTAGCCAGCTTAGATCAAACGCTTCTCGACATATCGATAGCTTTCCAAATATACCTTCAAACACCTTTATTTGACTGGGTTGGTATACTTCAATTATAAATGTGTTACGTGTAAAGGCGTCGTTAAACTCCGAATACCTGTGGCATCTTTAAGTTATTGTTCTTCATATAATCAATTTAGAAAAAGCTAATTCTTATCAGCTGTTCGGTACGTTTGTCAAATGATACAAAATACTAATCAATATTGTTCTTCTATAAACAAGAAACAGATATGAGAAACTGTAAGTACGGGTAATGTAACATACGATACAATTTGTACACTGCGTATGGAAAACAAAAGTCAGTGAGTTCAAACATAAATTAGTCCTTCTCCGTTGATTAGGTAAAAATTCGTATTCAGTGACAATTTGTATAAGATCTGTGTGGTGAATGAGTCACATATTACTATTAAAAACATAAATACTGATCAACAAATCAGGTCAGACAATAATGATCTGGTGCATCAAACAACAAGTCTACTGACCATTAATTTATTTAACAATATGTAACATTAAGGTTTGATTAATTTTATTGATCTAAACGACAAAATAAACCCTACAAATCGAATAATTATCTTGTTTATATGGCCAATGCTAAATGTAATATCAGGGTGGAAATCGTTCTTTTATCTTTATTAGGAAGTTAAAATAACTATATTTCTACCTGATTAGCATAGACACACACTTGTATTCACTTACTATTCAAGCATGAAACTATATATGACTTTAATGGGTTCGGGATACATGATAGATCTCAACATAGAAAACAGATGTTCTATAGGTTGAAATTTTAATGAATATAAATAAAGACATCCTAGGTTAAAACATATGGAAGTATAAAACAGAAAGGTGGTGAGCGGAGACTTAAATTACAGAACATTAAACTTGGTTTGTGGGTTATTTTGCCAAATAGTTTGCACCATAGTATTTAAGACAAAAATTAAGAGATGTACAATTACATATCACTGTCACTCAAGTCACCAATTATGCAGTAAAAATGTGATGGACGAAAAAAGTTTAGTAAATCCCTCAGGTTTAAACGAATATGGGTAGATGAATGTGAAACGTGAGTTTCTCGGTTCACGGAAATTTGGATAAAAGATATATCTATTTACGAGTGAATGATCACTGAGTAGTACCCAATGTTACGATTGTCTGGTCCTTTAGTGCTGATAGGACTTTATCAACAAAGTTTCAATGTGACCACTAGTCTGAGTAAAGCGAAATTACGTGCACTATGTTGAGATGTTAGGTGGTTGAAACGAAATCCAGGACCTAGGTTTTGTGCTACTTGCCACTCGTCGAAAAGGCATATCTATAATGTTGAGGGAACTGATACACCTCGTGTGACTCAAACCTGAGTAACACAGGTTCCTAGTCTTAGACGTTAGAATCGAGACTAGGAATGAACAGAAACAAACATATATCAGTGCGCTCAGTATTACTGGTACACCTTGCTGAGGACTGTCAACTAGCAAAATATTTAGGCCTGGGGTTTCTTGTTAACTAACTCCAACCACCTAAAATACATTTGTAGAACAAATAAGTCCTGATGATATCTTACGTCTCCATCATTATCATCACCAGTGTTGAGAATTATAAGGACAATAAACAACAATTGTTCATTAGTATTTGTTAGTAAGCAATAAAAAACATGCTAATACCTAACCGTGGTTAGGGAGGTTAAATGATTATTGATCTTACCTCTTAGATACTTCAGATGGAAAATCTCAGAGGAGTTTTGTAAATCCTGTTTGAAATTGTAGGAAAGAACCTAAAATCAAGCATATATATATATGAGTATATCATAAAAATTCGAAAGGTCAGTAGACAGTGTCATTATAAGACAGAAATTCAAACCAATAATGTGCAATAAAATACAAATATGAAATGATTCATAAAATTGAAAACTTTTCTCCAAATTTAAGACAAGTATAGAATATATTGCATATTTCTGTTTAGATTTTAATAACTACTAAAAGTTGTGACATAGACTAATTGAACCATTGTTGATATTTGTAAATTTTAATTTAAACTCTGGTAAAATTCATACAGATTTTTTGTTATCAAACAACGGGATAGCCTAGAAAAAATTAATGATAAAAGCGAATAGGTTATCGAATCAGTGTAAACTGAGGATGTTATATAGATGTAAAATTCACTAATATAAAGCTTTTTACTAATTACCCAAAATACATAACTAACATCAAACAGTAGTGCTGAGTCACTTAAACTATCTACGATATTACAGTTTGATCGATGGAACTCTATCAGAACTAAGGGATGTACTAAATATCATTGATTACTATTTAGCTTTTAATTACTGCACAGGAATCTTAATGATGCAGGAGATTATTCAAAATATTAACTCATCAGTAAGTGTTTACTGTTATGGTACTATGTCAAGTGTCAGGTTAGAATAAAACACCTAGGCTAAGGGCTTCTTGTTAACCTGTCCATCTACACCTATCTAGTATCAAAAATAGCTGAAATTAAGATCAGTAGTGGGAACAAAAAAGTGTGAAACTGGTATTCATTTTAATAGCCCAAGAAATTCCTTAGAAAATAGGTCAAAGACGTACTCATTTCATTCTTTTTTCGTCAACGATAGTGTAAATGACAGATGTTGTTTCTTACCTTTTTGAGGCTAAATCACGAGTTAAGAATATTCAGATGAGACTGACTTATGTCTTCAACAGCGTATATTTTCGATACACTTCGAAGCAAACACTGTTTAGTATATTACGGAATTTAAATTGAATGAATTAGGGGAGACACTTTTTGCAATGTCATGGTGTACAGTACATAGGAGGAATGTCAATTGAAATAAAATTTACTTTGAACGCAAGCTGTAAGTTTCCCAATGATCTCAGTATATGTTTTAGTGAAAATGTGAACTTTAATGAACTGAATTAATTGCAACATGTGATATATATGCTAGGAGTTGGTATCATGGTATTAAACTATCAACTGTTACCCTGAAATATTTAGGAAAGTATGTGAAGTAACACAGTTGTAGATCATTAAAATTGTAGGTGGTTCGGTTTCAGAGTGGATATGTTATCACAAATATAGTAATTCCGTCAGTTAGTCACTCTATTCTACAGGAGTTTATACATTCGTACACCTATACTTTTTGTCTCTATCACGCTTTTTATGAAAAAATAATAATGTAACGTGAAATAACATAAACAGACTCAAGTTTTTTCGAAGTACTACACTGTTTTAGACTATCTGTATGTACTTGCAAATTTTAGTTTCAATTCATATAGAAAACAAAAGAAAAGTACGAAATTATGGTTAGCAAAATCTACTATAAACATATTTAATTAGTAAGTAAAATTATAATCGATATCTAAAGAGATTTGTCAGCAAAAATCTTGTACTGTTTCCCTACCCCGGGTGTGCTTTGTACTTTAGTACCTGCCAAAGCAGTTACATTGGTAGAAAAGAATATATCCAAAAAATTTCAGATAAATGGGATTAAAGGCTTTTAGCAATGCTATTACACATCTTTGTGATACAGGGCATCAAGTTGATAAGCTTAAATCTTTCAGCATCACCAATCAACAGCTAGATTCTATTATTATCGTATTATCCGAAGCCATAACCACCAAATGACTGAAGTCAGGTTTATGTATCCAAAAAGAAACATTCGCAAATATTTCCTTACCATGGTGATTTTATCGTCAGTTTATGACATCATTTTTGCAATATTTTCTATCTCTCCTATTTTATTTGCATTACTTATTTTGTAACTCACTGATCTTAACTCATGTTATTCTTGATTGTTATTGATGTATGTTTAACTCCTTTATTATATAGTAGATTATTTTATGTATATGATCTGCTACTGTCTGATGATCCAGAATATTCTCTCACATATCATATTTATTCACAACACTCTTTATGTGTTTTCACTCTCATTACTTCACCATGATGGTACACATTCATTTTTACTGTTATAAGTGTGGTGTGGGTTACTTACATTCACACAAGTAGTATACAACGGTGGTCAGGCATAGAATGTATTTCAGCAGAATATCGATAAGGAAAGAACAAAAACTGAACGCAATTGGTATGAAAACGCATGAACAATGAAATCTTAGACAATGGACTGATATTTCCAAAAGGAACAGTGAAGTTTGAGACGATGGATTGATATTTTGCAAATTAACTATTTACTATACGGTTCTCATATTTTATTGAGATGCTCTGTAATTTCGTGTTCAGATACATTCGATTGCCCGCACTGTTGTTCTGGCTCATTAAACAACTATGGGAACTTTACAATAGTTTTGATTTTTTTAATATCATAGGTTGTGAGCAGCTGATGAGAACCTTGCGAAATGAAGTGAATTCATGCCATTCCGCTCAATTTTTTGTTCTTGCTTTGTTCAGAGTAATTAAGAAATAATAAAACGTATAACAATGGTTGGTAGATTCGACGGTAGTTCATAATACTGAGAATATAAGAATATGGTGTTCCAAATATCTAATACTTATACAATAAAAATGAAAATAATAATAGTCCGTCATATAGTTTCGAAAAGTAAAGCATTGACAGTATTCGATTCGTCAAAACATCTCTAGTTAGGAACTAGGGAAAAAAGCACCATATTGTGGATATAGATAAGATGATGAAATAAAATGTCATGCTTACAGGAGTAGAAGATTTCATTGCGCTCATCAGTGATCCAGTACATAAGGCACACAATGTTTTTATGTAAGCACAAAGGCCATCTAATGGTGACAATTCCAAACAAAACTTATTAAGTTACAGAATAAAAGAAAAAGAAGATAAGAGAACAAAGAAAATGATCAGTGATTTGTAAATTAAGGAGGTCAATTTAAGTGAACATAGATTCCTACTTAAAAATTATTTTTTTTTAAAAAATTACGAAATCAAAACGTTTGGCACGTATTTTGGAAATCCGAATTTTCGTTTCAATGAAATATAATTTGTTACTGAATAGTGTGTACTGAGAAAAAATAATACACGAAACTTCCTTACTACTTTAAACAATAAATCTTCTGAAATATTAAATCGAACATTGATCAGTTCATGATCTCAATGAAATTCAACAACATCAACAACCCCAAAATGAAAATTATCATATTCTCACTAGTGACTTGCTTTAGGACGGATGTATCGGAGTTCTAGTGAGAGGCCGTGAACAGTGAAGTTCAACCGTGTCGTGTGTGAGACAGTTATCCACTGAAGTCAATGGAAGATAGTTGTGCAACATCGTGGATTGATTGAAGTTAGACAGTAACACTGTTGGATGAAGGCTTGGTGGTGTAGAGGTTAAATGCTTGCGCGCGATGCCGAAGGTCCGGGGTTTGAGATACGCGTACGGAGTCCTGGATGCGCACTACTGAGGAGTCCCACAGTAATACGAAACGGCCGTTCAATGCTTCCAGGTATTCAATGGTAGTCTAACATTGGTCGGTCGATGATTTATTATAAAATAGTTGTATTTTTAAGTCTCTGTAATTAGTTGGAAAAAGGCTGAATGATTCAAAAAATTAACTTTCGTGAGGTCATTTGTGGGAGAAGAGAATTTTCATGTAATATATATATATATATATATATATATATATATATATATATATATATATATATATATATATTAACACATAGATATTGGTACAAGGAGGCACCAAATACACATGCGCCACACAAATCTCATTCGATATGTGTGAGGGCTGTGATACTGCCCGGGTGCCCAAACCGAAGCAGATGGTTTTCTTAGGGGGCCACTCCCCGAGCCTTCGACCTGAAGGTCTGATCCACAAGACAGTGGAGCATCGTAAGGAGATACAGTCCCATGGAAGCCGGTGACCAACAATTGATTCATACACCATTTGTTCCCGCAGGATACTGGAGCCCATGTGCACCATTGGTTTGGAATCCGGTTAAAGCGTCGGACATTCGCTTTTCGTTCTCTCATTTTTGTAAACAACACCCCCGCCACGAAAAGGCAGTGAGTAGGACTTCCCTGGCAGAGGCTATATACGCTTGGCCATGTGAGAGCATTTCGAGAGGGAGAGCTGACTCTGCCCACTCTCGACCGTACCAGGGCATTTGGGGGCATATCTATATCTATATCTATATCTATATCTATATCTATATCTATATCTATATCTATCTATCTATCTATCTATATATATATATATATATATATATAAATATAATTTGATAGTGTAATGGTAGGTAATGGAGCGGTTGCTTCTTGATTAGAGAACTGAATTTATAATGTTTGATTCAAATATTTTAATCACGTATCACTCTCTCCGTTTTGACAGTCGATTACCAGCAACACTAGCTCACAAAAACAATATTCCTTGAGTGTAAGTACATTAACCCGTATTTTATAAGTTCGATTCAAATTATTTTCAAAATATTTCAACCACTAAAGTAATTTTATTACATTCAATAAAATAAATAAACTTGTCGTTTATCTTATAAATAATTCGTTTAGAATAATGTTCTAGAATAGCTTGATAAACCTAAATCGACTCTAGTATATGTCGATAAAAAGTAGTAAATAACCACATTTATATAACTCATTACTTGACGAAACCAGTTCAGTATGTTTTGAATTAAATATCTTCTTTGACTCAGAAACTTGTTGTTATATGCACTGAAGCTAGTAGTACAGATGCGAAAATCAAGAAGATTCATCTATCTACATGGTTTACTATAGTTTCATTAAGCAAGAATAATCTTTACTCTTCCATATATATATGAGTGGTAGAATCATCTTTCTTAAATAAACGGACCAGATATTATTGATATCTATATTTCCGTCAAGACTGAAAACAACATGTTTCATAGCTTATTTTGTTGTTATGTTGAAATTCATTTACATTTAGTAAGTACGTTTTTATTTTTAGATTATTGGTACAAAGGACTGAATAATTCTGATGGCTTATTATTATAATAATTATATATAAAAAAGAAGTAAAAATGAACCACATGAGACTGTTCGCGGATTACCTTAGCGTCAGTATTTGCCTGAATTATATCACCCAATCTATAATTGACCAATGCACGTAATTGTAGAACTTGGTGTTTAACTAATTTTGAATCAGCAAATGTTTCGATATATTCAACACTAGATGGTTTATTATTACCATCATCAACAATATTCACAAGCCGTAATGATATGCTGAGTATATTCAGTGCATTATAATACAAAGAAGTACGTCTGTAAGATAACAATACAATGTATGATCGGAAAGTAATAATTTGAAGAGGGTTATTATCTACTGAATCTAGATTTGGTAACCAGTATAGACAGTATATGCAATTTTAGTAACATTGAGAAACAAAGCATAACCTTGTCCACCATCTACATATCAATACACGTGTGTATCTAATTTGCGATGTGTGGTTGATTATACGGAGGCTAAAAAATTATGAAGGTCTCAAAAGATTACCCTTTTGTCATGAAATCCCATCAGGAATAGAGTTTATTCCGCAGTTAGTAGACTTATAGACTAAATTTTGAAAGGGTAAGATTAATTACAACATAGTGGAACAGAAAAATGTGATTGAGATAAAAGATAAATAGGTAGGGTTTAAAACAATTTTCACCATTTATTAACTCCGAATAGTTAGTTTTAAAGAAATAGTCTGAAGGTGAATATAGGAAACAATATTACGGTCGGAAAACTTGTTGAATCACTATTTAAGGTGATACACCCCTTCGTTTAGATCAACTAATGGATGTTTCCTGTATAGACAGCACATCACTTTTGTAAACCGAAGACATCCTGATATGTGAATTTGGAATTAATCAAGTTAATTTACCATTCAGTTTTGTTTAGAAAGGAGTAAACAGAAAGATGGACCGATTGATGAGCTTAAGATTCAAGAAACTGGATCAATTATAATAATAAAGAGATTATCTTCTCCTTTAAATGTATTAAAAGCTTAATTCAGACAAACACTAATTGGACTTATCGAGTATATGAAGTATAATGAGAATAATGTTGAAAATTTTCAGAAAGTTGGAATAAAAATCTTATTTATTTGAAAACACAAATACACTGAAACATCAATAAACATAGATCCTGCTTGAACTTCAGGTGTAAGCAATTAAGTAGGGTATATGGTCATTGAACAATACAATGAAGAGAAGACTTCTATTTATAGATATCTGTTAACAATGTTCGCTGATAAAGTGGGGCTATAGCTTTAAATCAGAACTTGTGTTCAATCTTCATGACTATAACGCCAAAAGACAATATCGGTAAAGTGCTTCGAATTGCAACACTTTAACACGAGGTACATGGAGGAATATGTAAACAGGAAAGGGGTAACAAAAAAGACCAGAATAAAAGGAATGAATAATGTAGGTCTGTACTATTGGCATTAATTATGCGTCACATAACTGAAGATTTTCTGATTATATTCTAAAGACTGTAGTAGTGAAGCTTTTAGTAAATGTACAATGACGACAATTATCAGTTCCATGGTTTCATATGACTATCTTACTCTTGTTGTGGGTAAAATTATATATAAAAATAGAAAATAGCTAAAAAGTGTGACGCATATCTTGGTCATTCCAGGTGACTTGTAGTAATAAAACAGATGACTGTTAATTTATCTACATTATCTAACCATCTTTCTGATCGCTTTGTGATATCACAATGAGCAAATACTGTAAACAACTGAAACTCTCATTCGTCTACACGTATATCTTTGTATAATTCGAAATGTAAAGTATACAAGCGCAATTTGTCGAACCAGATGATCGAAGGATTACTAATAAATCATATGATTGGTACGTAATACGGCCCAAATTATTCAAAATAAGCATGTAAGTATATATGCTAATATCATGCAATATACGAAGTTATGATCTACCCAAAAAACTAAAACTACAATCTCACTTACGCAGCACCTTGAGCTAATAGTAATGTAGTATCCATGATAAACGGGTAATTTCGCGTACCATTGACCGAATATTCCATAGCATCCTAGACATAGGAAGAGAATGCAGTAGAAATTTATTTAACAAAAAGTAGCAGGCATTGAAATAAATAACAGAACATAAGAGTAATTATTGAGGTTGGTAAAAAAAGTGAACAAACCACCCCGTGAGTTATCATCTTCCTTTCTCTTTCAAAAGAGTCAATCATAAAAATTCATGATAAACAAATAAGATGAATCAATTGGAGAAATTGTAGATAGCCATCAAGTGAATCACATAAAAATGGTACAAATCTAACATGCCATTTTACCTAGAGTAAGTCTAGAGAAGCTTTGAAGCATTCTATATGACCTCTGACTTGGTCTGAACTATCCAAGAAAGCTTTGGGCATCTTGATTGGTGTTCATAGGCAGTCTAAGTTAGCAGTTGAAAGTTTTAAGCAATATGTTTCAAACTTAGCTTGCCATTATATAGCCTTATAAATGTTTTACGATAGAAATAAGAGGTATACTGTTGATCATGGGTTCTTACATTGCTTTCATTATTTCTCCTGGTTTTAACTCGAATCCTAAGTATTTCGCTTTCACCTATTTCCTATTTATTTTATTTTTACTCTTTCATGTTCGTATTATTGGATCTCTGTGATTAATGCTCTAGTCTTTCGATTCGCCTACGAATTGTTTCCCGAGATTGTTAGTTGGTCGGTTTGACAGCTTTTTAATCCTCATCTTTTCTTTTAAAACGGCTTTTAATATTGTAATTATTCACTTGTTTTCCTAAAGTTGATTCCTACTTGCTATGCTGTTTGCGAAGATAAACTGATAGCATCGTTGTGTCATGTTTTAGCTTTCCCAACTTATCAACACTATAGGAACATTGGAGGGAAAATACAAACTCCATGTGGACAGAAATCCTAGAACGCTTCTTAGAAAATAATGATGATACATTATTTTCTTAAACGATTAAATATTCACCGACCTACTTGTAATTTAGAAGTATAATGTTGTGATAGTGCTTTCATATACATAAGCAATCCCATAATTGATTCTGATAATTGTTTTTCAGTTGACAAGGTTATTGAAGCTAAATTAAATGCAATGGTAAAATCTTCAGCAGCTACAGATAGGCTTCCACTGGTAAGATGAAACAGACCTAAAAAGAACCACGGTCTCCAAGCAACTAAAGATTGTGAAGAATATTTAAAACCGTTAGAACAATTGTGTCGTTGAAGATGACAAGATCTTAAACTGCTTCTGTTTAAAATCTCTTCTATTTTTCCAGCTTCCTCTCGTGCTTCTTTTAAATATCCTAAACGCAGCAAAAGCTAAAAATGAAAAAAAGATAACCTGCTAAGACTGCTTTATACTGTATTTCAGATACCAAACAAATTGTGTTTAAAGACAGAAAAAGATAATGATAACTAATTCCACTGAAAGTCATAGACTAAGTACACTGAAGGAAAAGCCTCGAACACAAGAGTTTTTGTAAAGCAAGCTTAACACCTGGGGCGATCAACTCTGACCAACTAAAATAGTGAGTCTGTCTTGCGTATCTGGTATTCAATTAGACTGGTAACTCTGATTTATATGAAAGAAGAGTGGTGTTGTTTACTGAGTAAAAAAAGATGAGGCTAGGGATAACGCCACTGGTTATTAATTTGAGTCATGCTTTGCGATAATGCGGAAGCTACATAAATCTTATTTTTGATGTCGATGGAAAGACCCTCACTTTGCAACCAATACAAATTTAGTAGAACCCTTCAGTATATGAAAATCAAAACAAACTACAGAAATATAGGCATAGTTGAACGATGGCTAGCACGGAAGTTTAAGACGCATTTTGTTATATTTGGGATTACTCAGTTGGATGTAACTGCATCCCACAGTTGATGTTTACTATGGGACAGGATGTACATACGCCAAAGCAGGCTGATCAGTTGCAATCGTAAACATCAGTAGGATGATTTAAAAAACATACAAATTAGTAATGAAGTTTTTATGATGTGTCAGCATATAAACGACAATAATATAATGATTGCGTGACTTGGTTACCACATACAAGTTTAAACATATGGTTTAGAGCAATATCTTCATGTGAGATCTATTAATTTCATCTGGCTGCTCACTCTGAAATACGTTGAACTAGGTTAAAATATGCAACCTCACAGCTCTAAGTAGATTAACTTGCTGTTCAGCAGTGTTAAGAGGGACTACCAGCATTTAATTCAATAGCACGCAAGTAAGTTAAGTCGCAAAATTGCCATCAGAAATGCAATAAGTGAAAATAAATTCTAAATTCTTCATTCACATATCAAGGTAGATATAATAATGTTTATTTCTGACACTAGAAGTAACCATTAGAAAGTGAAGTCAAGTAAAACTTACTGACAACTTTTTCTCTCTATATAGGGTAGATGAACCCTCAATTTGTACAGCAAAGGTTATTTCTTTCAGAGCCTGTGATAACGAATTCTGATTAAGTTGTATAGAAAAGTGACAACCCTTACTGGACTTGAATTTCTTGACAAAACCTCTGCATACAACAATCTATAAGCCGGTAAGGAAGGAAAATACTGATCAGTAAAATACCTTTACGATACTCAGCTTACCTTTATAATGCTGTATGACTTTTGTATCGCTATATCATGATTTCCACAGTTTGACAGTATAATAATCTCAACTGAAATAAATGTTGAACTGACTGGAAAAAGAACACATACTGAGCATAGTGTCGACAGACACATTTCCTGTCAAAGGAAATAGTTTTGCTTTTCCTATTAAATTGTGGGAAAAATTCTGTCACATGAATAAAATGTCATTTCTTACTTTTATGCTTTCGTCACTGCATAAAAATTCACGGTTGAACTGGATTGTACATAAGGGTATAATTGTTTTATCTGAAAGTGTGTCTATTATTATAAGGTTACCTTTCACAGACAAATAGCACTCATCAGCGACTTCATGCCAGCGAAGTAGGATACTGTTAATTGACTAGGAAAGAAAACTTAGAATAACTCGGTTAAACTCACCGTAGTAAGATACTTATCGTATGTCCATGGCAGGTTAGATACATTCCAGTAACGCATAAACTCATTATCTAGTATGCATTTTCGAGGAATAGTGTAGTGTTCAGCTAATTGCCGAAGAAAGTTGGTAGTTTTCTCCACGAATGAAAGGTGTGATATGATAGATTCTTGAAAACCAATGTATTCCCACTTATAAAGTTTATATGATTTTGAATCGACAGAAATCATTTTCATAGAATTTTCTAAAGCACGCAAGGCATACCAGAAGACAATAAGCAAAACAGCTGGTTGTAATCTCATTTGTAGATAACTTGAGCATCACTCTGGAAATCGGTGTAAGCACATATCTCTTAATAAAGGTCTACCAAGTTAACTGGGCAAATAGAAAAAAATTTCATTGAAAGACTGAACGTTTGGTGCAATAAAAAACGTAGACAATCGTTTAGTGTCTTTCAAATCAACTTCTGAGAAAAAAATTTACAAGTAGATTAAAATGAAGATGCAAAGAGAAACATAATACTTTAGGAAGTTTATTTACTAAGTAGACAGCTCGTTACAAATAATAATTAATTTTTATCTTAGATGCAGACAAGGTTAAAACTGATTTACCAGGACGATTGTCGTAGTTAATCTGGTTTTAAAACGTTAATACTACTCTATATCATATGAAATTCTGGAGCCTGAAGGTTGGCCTCACTCAATGACTGTAAGAAACGGTGTGCATATCATAACGAAATCGGGTTGGTGGATTAAGATATAGGTTCAGTTACAGTCAGCTAGTCACATACAATTTAAGATTTGACAGTGATGTTCTCCGGTCTTGGATGCGAAATCATATCCACGATAGAATTTTAGTATGATTAAAAATAGAGAGCAAAATATTGATATCAATGAAATCGATCAAATAAATACAAAAGATATAATTTAAAAGAAAGGAATTAGGGGAGGAATTGAAGTAAAACTGGAACCAATTTGTAAATAAGAATCAAAAACGTACATGTGACTGAATAGGACTGGTTTATCGGTACGTTAACTAATATCTCAAATCACGGGTACAATTAGCGCGCCACCACCAAACAGAATGTCTTAATATTCACAGAGATGCTTCTATGTATGCCCTCAAAAGCCAGGTTTAATATACATGAAAAATACACAGGGAACTCCAGTACAGTATGCTTGCCGTCTGTGAAGTAGATGGATTCTTCACCTGCCCATCACGAGGTACAAATTGACGAATGCTTTGTGGGTCACTGATGACTATTTATGGAATTTCATACGAACACATTGAATTCATACGACTGTACACTCATTTTGGATCCCAATATTTGAGTGTCAAAGGAATAAACCCCATTCTGTTAGTTGGCTTGTGCTTAGTTGTGCAACTGACTCAACGCCCTGTGTGTGAATCCTTCTAATATTTCTTTGTTTGGTTGCCGATTTATATATCCATCTGTTGATAATTTTTGATTATTGTTTTGATCTACCTGAGAAACAACTAAATGACACTGGACATTTCGCAGCTACCTCAGCACAATATGTATTACACCAATCTAATTCAATCTTAGATTCAATTTATTGCTACCCAACTCCCGAATATCCCAATGCTAGTTTCAAAATGAATTCATGGCAATTAAAAGGAGGTTTAGTTCTGGAATTAATCCAATACTACTACTATTTCAGTCCAGTTGTATCTGCTCAATACTACTATACTTTGAATGTTTATTACTAATATGTACCACTGTCAATTTAGTTGATTATACATTCAATGGTATTTAGATCCAAGTTTTCACGTGTCCTATTTCTCTGTTATCAAGAAAAAGATAAAAAGATAGCATTAGTACACGAAAGTACTGTAGCCAATAGATTTGATAATCGAGAATTAACCCATTGATTTTTCATCAAGAAAACTCTAAGGGCCGCTAGCAAACAGTTTTTAAGTAATTTATTTGCGTATTAAAACAACAACCATAAATCTTATGACTTTTGAATGTTAAAATGATGAATAGTTAGATCATTTGGGCTTGCATATGCTTGACACATTGGAAACACACCTTATAATTTTATCTAACAAGCAATTACGAGCTCTTACGGTAATAGGTTATTCGCTACAGTTTTCTGAACCTCAAATCGACATTCTCTTAGTTGGAAATTAAAATACTAATCAAAGTGAGCAGAGTTAAATTTCACAATTTGCCGAAGAGTGGAAGTATGGTGTGTATCAAAGATAAATTGTATACATAAATCCTAATCAGCAGATTCACTCAAATTTTCCATTTTTAAAGCTTTGAACTTAAAACCTGGACATGATTACGTCTAAATAGAAATGGTATGAAACTTAAGTTTCATACCCATTGTCTGGAACTTACGACTGTACTGTAGTAATATGCGAAGAGGTATTTATCAAAACCATGTGCCATATATACGTACCTAACACATATTACGTACGAACAAACGTATGTCCACTACGTGCATAAGTTTACCTTGAAGGGATATTATAAATTAACCCAAATATTAAGGTAATTATGTGTACTATGTAGTACATATAAAAACATTCACTGAAATAACAACAACTAAGTAATTTGCGCTGACGGGAGAAACATCTTCAGGCGTTACCGTGTGAAAATCTAAAGGATGCGCGCAAATCCTAAGGGTTGTTGTTCAGTCTAAGCTGTCGAAAAACAAAATCTTCTCTCCCGAAATGTATAATTCATCTATTTTGATCCCAAACTTTACTGGTGGCCACCATAAAAGATAATATAAACTTTAAGTCCTCAATAGTGAGAAAAGAAGGTCTATCGACCCATATTAACCCTTGAAGTTTGCAACACGGTGAAGGAATAATTTCGTTTTGAATATGTCAATGGGTGTTGGAATAGAATTCCAGTAACTCACGCCGACCAAACCAATGCGGGAGATTGTTTACTTCGTTTTTAATTGGTTAGAATAGTTGCAATATCCAGGTGCTGAATTGCTTCCTCAAGTAATCTATCACAAAAGAAAAAGCGCTAGTCTGCACTATGAACATTAGACGTTTTCAATGCTTAGAAATAAATCGTATGCTGCAAAACCCATACAGCTGGTATTTATTGTCATCACAACGGAGTTAGTCACATCTGTGTTATCGCACTAACAACTTCTACTTGCAAGACGACATTCGAAAACATCACTCTTAAAAGTTTCTAGAACCCCGCAGAGTTGCCTACAAGGACTGTTATGGTATGGTCAGAAGTGCAATAATCTTATTCAACCCTTCGTTCTCTCATGGAAGACAAGCTCCAACACAATCTATTGCTTTAGAAGCAGCAAAAGTCAGCCACAGTCAACGATAAACCACAAAGAGTATTATAAATGAAGTCATTTCTGATAATCTTTTGTGAACAAATAAATAGCTATGCGAGAAAACGTCTTTGTTGAAACATGAGTTGAAGAATGTCCCAGGTAAAACAGAAGGCATGGACAAGTGGAAACTTTAATCAGAGGACTGGGTTTTCCGAGATAGATGTAAAGCAGAAATTTGGAACCGCAGTGAATCATTTGAAGCCAAGCCGAATCATCAATCCGTGCAAACCCATAAATACCTCCATTGGTTTACAGCTTGGAAAAAGCCAGCAAGCATGTGAGAGCGAGTTATCAGAAGCCTATGTGATGAAGATATCATCAGCTTTGAAATGAAAAACATTCATGTCACTCTGTCAGTCATAAAGTTAAACCAAGCACATGTGCATGGGTGACACTCCGCAATAAAACTGGGATTAAATAAACCCGTTGAGTGGCATTACATAGAGTAAGGTCCCTGCAAACCTCAAGTCACCAGGCTGTTCCCTGTAGCGGTAAATAAATCCCCAAAATAAATAGCCCTGTAAGTTTTCGACATTGGATGCTGACCATATGTTTTAGTGGACTCATCTAGCTGAAGGCGCTCGGTCAGGCATCCGCACCAGATCACGTGTGGTAACACCGTGCTCAACATCAACCGCAATCGCTAGCCAGATTAGATCAGAGAATTCCGATATATTGGTCATCGCCAAATATACTCTTCCGATCTCCTCGACTCTGTCTTTTGATTTCTCTGGGCGGGAACGAAATATATTAGAAGGTGTTACTGGTAGAAGCGTTGTCAAACACTGAATACCTGTGACATTATCATTGGTGAGCCCGACGTGATCTGGTACACCTTATTGCAACTGTGAGTCTGTTCCTTGTTGGGATTTATATATATCGTTGCCTTATTTTTTATTCTTTTTTAAGCATTGTGATTTTTTTTTCGTGTTTTTTCCTGGATATATATATTTTCCCCTTGTTCATTATCGTACTTCATACTTCATCATGACTGAACAGACACCTAAAGTACTCAAGCTTAAGACTTTGTCCCCGCCTTCGTTTCAACTGATGCCTTTCTGGCCCGACAACATCGAAGCCTGGTTTTGCTACGCAGAAGCCGACTTCTCCGAGCACGGCGTGATCGACACACGTGCACAATTCCTCGCAGTAGTCAAGGCACTACCGCGCGAATTCAACAGGTACGTAACACCTAGTATGTTTACTAGTGATGTTTCCGATCCTTACGAAATCTTAAAACGCTCGATTCTTAAACGAGGAGACCTAACCGATCGACAAAGGTTAGATCAACTCTTCAACAATATCGACCTGCAACACGGTTCTGCGACAGACATGTTGCAACGGATGAGAGAGGTTATAGGCCCAAGAACTTTCGATGAAGGTCTATTCAAACAACTCTTCTTGTCAAAACTTCCCCAACAGGTGCAAGCAGTTCTGGTCTCGTTCCAGAACAACGCCTTAGACGAGCTAGGTGTATCTGCCGACCGCATATTAGAAATTACGAAACCTTCTACTACCGAGGTATTTTCAGTCAAAGAAAAACCTCAAACGACTCAGAATGATATAAACGACTTATGTCACACACTCACGCGTTATCTTAGTCTTCGTACCGACCGTAAGAGATCGCGCAAACCACGTAGAAGCATTTCTCGTAAGCGATCTGTCTCTAGACCACGAGAGACAGATAACCCCGACTGGTGCTGGTATCATAACCAGTATGGAAAGTTTTCCAGAAATTGCAGAAAACCCTGCAATTTTCCCAACACGAAACCGACTGATTCGAAAAGCAATTCGGGAAACTTCCAAGCCGGCACGCGTTAACGGCAACCGTAGCCGGCGAACAAAGCCGTCTGTTATTCGTCACAGATGTGACAACGAGAGTTCGCTACCTCGTCGACACTGGCGCAGAAGTTAGCGTTCTCCCAGCAAATCCTAACGACCGGCTTCAGGAATCGGCGTTT